GATTGCTTTTTGAATGAACCATAATGCAGAGCGGCCAATGAGAACAGAGGTCATTTTCATACACCATGTGGCCAAAAGTATGTTGAAACCTAACCATCACACCTATATGAGCTTGTTGAACACCCTATTCCAAAACCATGGGCATTAATATGGACATGACCCAGGTCTAGCAGGGCAGAAATTTCAACAGCTGACTCGTGGTAAAAGTGGCATCCTATGACAGTGCCGCCTTTAAAGTCGCTGAGCTATTCAGTATGACCCATTCTATTGCCAGTGTCTATAGTTGTAACAGGAGATTGCATGGCTGTGTGGATTGATTTTATACCCCTGTTAGCAATGGGTATGACTGAAACTGAACTTAATGATTAGGCATCCACATACTTGTGGCCATATAGTGTACCTCCCCACTACCTGTTTTGAATGAACCATTTCTATGATTTCATGAAAACACATTTATGCCTATTCAGCATGCAGCAGTTTAGCTCTGCGCATTTAACGGTTAAGTTATAAGAAGTACTTCAGCCTGGATTGTTTTTTGAACAAAGCATAATACAGGGCAGCCACTCAGAACAGAGGTAATTTACGTATGTCAGTCTTAAAAGGAGGCTTTCAAAAAAAGCCTGTTTAATTCTAAGGAATAAAAAGTGGTTGGAAAATGGTCATATAAAAATGAATTATTACATTTTGGTACATATACCCACATAAACATCATAAGTGGACATCAGGGGAAACAGTTAAAAAAAAAAAGGTATTCAAAATTCTTGTTTGTAATTTGTAGTTTCTGCCAGTGCCAGAGTTGATGCCTTTCCGGCTTACGCGGCAGCTTGTGACTCTGATGCGGCCCATGGCAGAGTCCGGTTTGATCCGCAGTGTGATGGTGCATTCACTCCGTGCCTTCAGAGACGACCCTGACCTGCTGCTCAACACCATGGACGTGTTCGTCAAAGAGCCTTCACTGGACTGGAAGGTAGAGTATGTTTATATATTTAAGTGAGTCCCCTGTTTAGTTAGTTTGCACAAAAATGAACAGTGACAAACTAAAATAAGAAGATTGTGAAAAATTATTAATTTGAATCCACCTTTCTTAAACCTTTCTGTATTGCATGCTCAAGACGTCATCAGTGCTAATTACCCTATAGTGTATGAATGGAGAGATCTCAGAATTGGTCTCTGGATCTTCTGGAATCAGCAAAACTTTTCTTTCCCAGGCTTTCTTTCTCCAGTTTCAAACTTCAAGTTTCAGCTGGATTTAATTTATTGCATGTGCCCCTTCTTTCTTTAGAACTTTGCTGTGAAGCAACTAAAGAAAGGAGGAACCTGGACTGAAAATGTGGATACACAAGAGATCAACTGGTACCCGCTACAAAAGGTCAACTTTGCTCGTAGGAAGCTAGAGGGAGCCAACCCCTCAGTTATAACAAGGTAAACCCAACTATTGCTCACTGATAGATTCTTCCTTCTCTGTGTTTTGGGCCTTTACAGCCTTCTTTTTTGTGTGTTTTGTTTTTATTCTCTGTTGAGACACTTTGGATAGTTTTTCAGTACACTGAGTTTAGCTGCTATTCAGCATTAACAGCCTAGAAGGGAACAGTATAGATTAGTATTGACATTTGCTAGCACAACACTCCAGTGTATTTTATGCTTAAACTCTGTTTCATAATACTGTCTGGCCACAAATGATCTCTGAACAACGCAAGCTGTAAATGTACTGACTTTAGTTTAAGAAATTGATACGTGAGGTAAATAAAACATGTAAAAGTGTGAATTTTTTTTCTTAAAGGCAAATTATGATGCAGTGTTCTGTATTTGTCATTTTTTTTATTTACTCTCTCAGTGAGGAGCTGTGTCTAGGCTTTGAGAAAGCTGCTGCGTTTAAGGGCATGCTGGCTGTGGCTCGAGGAAGTGAGGAACACAATATACGTGCCCGACTTGGTGAGAAAGATCTGAGCGTGGAAGACCAGGTGGACTGTCTTATTGATCAAGCGACGGATCCCAATCTCCTGGGCAGGGTGTGGATAGGCTGGGAACCATGGATATAAGTGAGCTTAAGGGCATAATCTTTATATGAACATGACTTACCTAACAAAACATGTTTCAACTGGGCTTCCTCTTCATTTAATTGACTGAGCTTTGTTGCCACAGTGTCTCTGTCTGACACAAATACACCACATTGAGACACCAAAGTCTGCGGTAATTCAATTATGGCCAACAATTAGAGAGCTTTCAGATTTATCTGTGAATCGTTATCAGATTGCTAAGTGACGTTATCATACCAGTGATGTAACACTTTATCACGATGTGGCACTCCACCCTTACGGTTAGTTGACTGAATGGATTTATTGTTGTTTTTGACAGAACAGCTTCCAGTATCAGTTGGTCTGTGTTTGTGTGTCACTGTGGGGACTACTGGTCACAAACTGGGAGCTCAAGTGTCAGCTCTGGGGCAGTAATTGTATTAGTTTCACTTCCATGTTTGAGGTCTTATCTGTCAATTTGGGCATACTTATGGAATTCTGCTGAAAGCATGTACAAACTCAAATAAACAGAGTTTTCCTCATTCATGAAATGTCAGCTAGAATAATAATTTTGAAAACTGTATGCATCCTCTACTGGCTGAGTTTTAAAGGGTTATCATAGACAAGTGGACATGCCATGCCTTAGACTGCGCTTGCTTTGGTTGTGAAAATAATATAGCCGTAGCCTAAAGCCTGGTAAATATATTTCTGTGTAGTTGTGAGCCATAATTATGGTCAAGGGGCCAATGATCTTTCATCATATTACAACTTATCTGGCAAATGTTTAGCTCAAATGTTGCATAAAAAGCTAGGCAGCTTAGGTGTTATAAATTGTGGCCAGGAGCTCTAAAATTCAGGCGCCCTATATGTCATTGTGGGAAAACATGCACCTGGAGAAAATTGTTGTTCTCTGCGCTGGAAAGCTATCTCAAGGCCGACGGGGTTTTTTTTTCTGGTGGTTGCCATGGCAACTCTGTGGACCCAGAACGAGAAACCATGTCATAGATCTTAATATCTTCGATGACCTAGACATACACTACTCAACCCTAATACATTATATGTAGTCTAAATGACATTTTCATCCAATAACAACCTGTATCAGACCCACAGCTATTGGTTTTATGTCCCTGTGTAGTTGTTCCTGTTCATCCAAAGTGCAAAATCCTCATAGAAACCCATCATTATATACATGTTATATATACACAGGGATGCAGACCCTGAACTCATGCGCTGCATAATGTCATGTCTATTCACTTGGTGCTATGAGATCTCTATGAGAGAGTCTGCCTCTCATAGAGATCACCAGACATGGTATATCTTTCCTTGTGGTGCTTTGCCAGGCATCTAATTTCCTTTTCAGTCTCGTCTTGTCTTCAGTAATAAATAAACGTATAAACTTTTTCTCCCCCATTGCTCTCATCCTGCAGCATGTTAATCTTCATCTAATCTGTCCTGTCTTTGTCGCAGAACTCTACAGAACTGTACAGTACTGTGAAAAGGTCAGAGACCACCCTTTTATTTACTTAATTTCCAGTCAAAACGGCCATCACAAGTTATACATTTTTCAGCGTCAGAAAAAAGCAAAAATACATATACTTATCAGTAAATTACACAGAAGCCTCAACAACTAAATATCTTTTTTTTTCAGCTTCCTTTCAGGAGACCTGCTTTCAGCAAAGAAATCCAAACCTCCAAAGTTCAGTCTTAGAAGCTGGTTGCGTTTTCTGCTTATTACGTTCCAAGTAATCCCAGTTCTGGGAAGACCAGCAGCTTTGTTTGATTGTATTGTTTTTTTTTAAATAATTGTCTTTTCCCAGTAAGGGATTCTTACACATCCTTTCAGACAGGTGTTTCTGTCCATAGAAGGATGGACAGAAACACCTGTGGATTTTTTAGATCTGAAGGATTGTTTATTTGATGTTGACACTTTTAGTGGTCTACCATGTCTTACGCAGGTGGTCAGGAGTCCTTCTGTATCTTTTGATAATTTTTTGAGCTCGGGTTTAGGAAACTCCTGTTTCTCCTTCCTTATTCAAGTAGATAATCTAATATCTAATCTCCTCAGAAATATCTCCTGAAAAATAAATATCTTTTACTAAATGGCCATTTTGACTGGACAATAAATAGAGGGTAGTTTCTGACTCCTGCACAGTACTGTACGTTCCTGGCCTTTACTAGGGGGTTGGGGTGAACGCTGACATCAAGCTGGTTTATTCTTCTCTTTGTAGAAGTTGTCTTCAACCCATCTATGTCTACATTCATGGTTCTTATTCTGTATATTTTTGTATTTTCTAGTATTTACCACACCTGATTAGACTCATTATCTAATAAACAAGCTCCTGGGTTAGATGTGAAAGTCTAGAAAAATGATGTGTTCTTGATCCATGTTGCTTCGGTTATTCACAACTATAGTGTTCTTTGGTCGGCTCACCAGTCCTTCTTGCTCTTTAACAGTGTACCCAACCATTGTTGTTGATAATCCTATTGTGTAGGCTGTATGGCCAGTACATTTATTTTGATTTTTGCATCTCATGTTAAGAGAAAACAGCAAACTACAGATGCCCATGACACAATATTTAGTTAAACCTCCCATGCATGAACTAACAATGTAGCGACTCAAAGTTGGCCTCGAAACAACTGACCAGTAGATCACTGGATTACTTCTGGTGACATAAGATAGGAGGACTATGTCTAAAACGGACTGCAATTCCAACAGGGGTCACCTTACATGAATGTATATACCCTAAAATTAAAGCTGACAGTGTACGCTTTAACCTCACAGACGCTGGATTTAAAATTAACACTGTGTTGGAGTACAAAGCCAAAAACAACAAACTGTCATTGTCCAATTACATGTAGACATACGCACTCTGATAAATGCATAATGCCAACTTGATGGGTTATAAAAAAAAATGATTGTTTTGCTTAAGATATATGCCAAAATTGGACAAGGTGGTCCTTGAATATCTACGTGTGGCACAGAAAGGGTTTGTTAATATTTATTGATCACCAACCAAGAAAAGTGAAGGCATAGTAAGGTTGGGTCAAAATATTCATATTTCTCAAGGCTTTGGGTTTGAGCAAAGTGTTAAGTTCATTGTGCAGGTACCTTAAGGTCACAGAGAGAAATTACACAAAGACAGGGGTACAGGTCAAGACATGAAAGTTAATACACAAAGCACCCTATACATATATATAGTTTTGTTTTGTTTTTTTTGTTTTTTGTTTTTTTTTACAAACCAGTAAAATATCATTACAAGGCTTTGGACTGTGCATAGCATATAGATACAAAACAGTCTCACGCAATACTGAAGGCCAAGGTGTTCGGGGCTGCTTTTTCACAGCACATTGCATGTTTTGCCATAGACTAGTTTTGGGTTTGTTCGAGCTTACATTTTGGGCCTCCAGCCACTAATGAACTGCATAAGTTTCTTCACTTGTAATTTGCTTAACTTAAAGTCCTCAGACAGAATCTCCTCGGTCAGCTGCAGCAGCAAATTACCGTCAATTTTCTCTCTGACAAACAACGCAACCACGTCCTCTGACATACCAATGAACCGTAGTGACTTGGAGACCTCTTCGATGGAAAGGCCTGAAAGGTTGGTTGGCGGTTGCCATGGCGACCCTGTGGTGCTTTGATGTGGCCTTTCGACCAAGCAGCTTGCCACCTGAAGTTCTTTAGCATCGACACTGGTGACCGTTGTCGAATTACATTCCCTGTCTTTCTTTGCATCGTTGGATTTGGGGGTTCTTGGTGGCAATATAGGGCAGGACTGGCTTTGCTTAGTGTTACATTCCTCAATGGATTTGTCTCTGTACATTTCCAGGGTATAACTAGTAGATTTAGTACAAAACTGAGCAGAATGTTGGGTCTTTGTGGCTGCAGTAGTCCCCTCAAACCTCTCTCCTTTATCAAAGTCAAAGAGGCCTGAGGAACAAGCCTTAGGGGTACCAGGGGTCCTTTTCCTCGGATAGCTTGAGTAACTGCGGCACTGGACTGATGAGAAGTCCTCTCCCTTGTGTAAATCGCCTCCGCAGAAGTCGTTCGGCCAGGAGAGACGGGAGAGGGTGGCGTCCATGGAGGGACTGAGGCAGGGGTGCAGTGTGGAGCTCTCACCGCCATCTGGTCGAATCCAGTTGCATGGGTAACACACGTGGTTCTGTTCATCCATGTCTTTTGAAGGCTCGCTCTCTCCTCCTCTGCAGAAAGAGAGGGCATCAAATTCCAAAAAATACTAAATACCTTAGTTATGCTGTCACAATTACTTGATTAAAAATATGAATCGATTAAAATTTTCATTCTCAATGAATCTGCTTAGTAATTTGTTCGGAATTTGAATGATATTCAGAGTATCTGCAGGTCATTATGAAGCTGTGTTTAGCAGTCTGAACACTCTCCATAAGGGGGTGCTATTAGCACTCAAATCACTTTTGACTTGCAGCACTCAAAGGAGTGTTCAGATATGCTGTTTATCAAATATGGAGACAGAACAGTCAGACAGAATTTCTGCCTACCTATGGTGATGGCAGTGAGGATATGGAAGTTCAGAACACACCTTTTTCTACCTTTGTGCATGTTTTTTCAGCTAGGTTGAGGTTCCTTCACAAGTAAAATAGCTTTGGTAGGCAAACATGTCATTCTGTACAGATGACTTCGCAAGTTATTTTAGTGTTTGATTCCAATTTGTATCGCTTTTAGGGACATTTCATCGCCTGTATGAATCAGCTAATCTGGTTAGGTAGGCCTGTTTTCCACGTTTCAGTTAGTCTCAGTCTTTCAGCAGTTGCAAATAAATAAAGAAAAAAAACTTGTATTTTGCCATTTCCTTTTGTGCAAACGATATGTCTTAATATTTCTTGCTCCAGTCTTTCAAAGAAATGGAGGCCTGCAAAAAACTCAGTCTAAAACTTCCCCCCCAGCTTAAGTGTTCAGTGTGTAGTACAAGGTGGATTCGTTGAGTTTATGACAACTGGAAGCTTAACACTCTAAGAATCTCTACCTCCACCTAAAAGATGTTCATGCAACTTCAGCTGTTTGAGTTAAAAGGTAAGCTAGTGCTTGTTTGGCAGCTGTGTGCATATATAAGCTCTTAAAATCATTTACAGTTGTATTTATGAGCTATTTGGTTAGTGCTTCATTTACTGTAAACGTAGATGCAGGCTATGATAATTGACCATTAATACAGTGTGGAAAAATGACACTTAAGTTTAAGTCCTCAGACAGATCAAAAATCTTGCACAGACAGGCTTATCCATGTGTCCTTATCATACACAAATAGCATATCATACACAAACAGAAACTCAGAAGTTTGTTTAAAATGTTTAAAACACACTAATATTTCTTGTTCAGTGGGTGCCGCCATGTTGAAATAATGTCACATTCTCCAGTGGGGAGTATGAGTTTGAGGAATGTTCACGTGGACTTTTCCTACTTAGAAGTTAGAAACTTCTCAGTTCCCACTTGATCATGAAGACAGTATTATAGCCTAGTAGACCATCACATTAACCACTGTTCTTTATTTCAAGGGATTCTTATTACATATTTTCAACATTACAATTCTAATGCCAATTACAATGTCAGTGCTCCCTCAGGCCAGGGCTCACAAGCTCTGTGCTGATTTGTATCCTTTGGTTTTGTTTTCATACTAAAGAGCAGGACTCACCTTTAAAATAAAAAAATCAACTTGTATCTGTCATTTTTCCCTGGATTTATAATAAAACAAACAGTCAAACAGTGATGAGTAAGCCTCTAACTTTAAATCCACAAGAGTCTTCTAGAATTCCTAGAAAGCCTTATACGTGTTGGTTGTAAAAGCAATGAACTGGAACAGTACTCACATGTTGTGCAGGCCAGAGGAGTAGTAGGACAGGGTTGGGCTCGGGGAGCGAGTGTCTGTCTGCCGTGGTTTGGTGGGTGGGAATGGCACTGTGGCACTGCTTGAGCTTAGAGCTGTCTGTTTGGAACTCCGCGGTGGAATTGGAGGAGCATTCAACAACCGACACTCCTCTTTCACCTGCAAATATCAAGAGTTTTGATTTGGGAATGCACAATGACATTGGACTCATCAGTACTGGCAAAAAACAGCATCAGAAAGATGTTTAGGATTTACTGATTTCACATCAATTCCTGATGACACTTAATGCACAGGAGAGGGCCAAACGTGTAGGCGACGCTGGACTACTGTGCTAATGTCAACATTTTATTCTTTTTTTCTGCATTTATAACTAGGGGTAGGTGATATATTTTTGCCATATCACGATACGTATCACAACAATTTGACTCGGACACAATGCACTAGTAATGCCACATTTAAAACATTAACAAACAAGTGTTATCAAAAACAATGATTGTTATTTAGCATGGCCTACCCCTATTTGGAACCCTACAGAAATAAGTTACACTTCTCCATAACGCTAATCCACATAGCTTTAGTCCCAATTTCTACATTTTATGAAAAATTCATGTATCTACATCAGTTGTCAGGCTTTGGCAGATATGTACATGAAAAATACTGAATATTGGCATTGGCTCACAATTATCGTAACGGTGCATGTCTAGCTAGATTAAGAACGATTCTTTATTCAAACTGTAAAGTATCAACAATGTATTAAAACAATAAAGCGGATAAAAAAAAAAAGAAATGAGTTATAACTCTAAACATGAACAGAATCATGACAGTCTTGCACATCGCAAACCAACAACACTACTTAAACCTGGGTGGGGAGTGGATTGTCAGTGATATTCTGATGCACTGGGGAAAGCCATTAATTAGATACCAAATCTAGTCAACAGGGTTCTTTACAATATATATGCTATATTTACATTTGTTTAGCTAATTATTGTTGACATGTTCACTGAGTGTAAAGAAAAATTGCTAAATTGTGGCAGCAAAAGAAGATTTTGATTTCTTTAGATGGCATCTTCCTATAGCTTGAGTTTGATTTGTGCCACCAATTGTATGGTGGAATACAGGTGTAATGGAATTTCTTTCTACAGCGTCTTGACATGTTAAAATATATTGATGGAAATAACCAGCCATCCTTGCTGTAAAACATTTCTGTAAAAGGGAAAATGTATTTTACACAAACAGCCACTAATGTTAAACTACAAAAGGCTAGTCCAAATTACGAAGTTCCTCAGAGTTAGAGGAAACAACAGGGAACAAATCGAAAGTGTGCCCATCAGAAATTGACATCTTTGTACACAGTGACGTCTGTGTACACAGTGTCACAATGATTGCACTCATCTTTGATAACACTTTGACAACAGTGATGTGACTAGAGGTCTGAAAGATTTGAAATCAGTGGACTTGACATGTTTCTGTGGGTGATTCAAAATGTTTGTATTGAAAATACAAACTGCTTCTATAAGTAAGAAACAACTAAAGTAACAAAGTAACTTCAATTTATTACAGTTTATGGATTTGGATTAAATGCTGACTTGAAGTCCAGAATCTCTATCAATCTTGCCCAAGTTACACAAGCAAGAGGAGCTAATATCTTTCAGCTTGGATCTAGTCTCTTCCTAAAGCACGATAGTTGGCAAGAACAAAATCCTGTTTTAGTGCATGTTCCTCCAAACCTCACTGGACAGTAAACAACCCTTTTGCCCAGTTTGAGACTAGGTCAAAGGTGATCTGCAAGTCAGATATTTAGCCCATGGTGATAATACAAATCTCTAATGTTAATAATGCTGTTACATGTATTTGCGTAACACTAAAAGCACTTGGCATGAAACACTGAACACTGCTTTGAGAGATATTTGCAAAAATCACTATGAATGAACCAGGAGCAGGTCTACATGTTTTCAAAAAAGGCACCATTTATATCAACAGCTTTTCTTTTATCCTATACAGCTGGAAGTAGATTTTAGAAGTTACAAAACATTTAAACACCATGAAATGCCCGATAAGGAGTGACCAATTCTTTTCAGTTTTTATTACTGAATTGTTGAGTAGTTAATTAACAATGGGCCTCATTCAACAACCGTTCTTATGAAAAAATTGTCGTAAAACCCACTTGTGCAGTTTTCATAAAGAACCTGACATTCACCAATGTTTTTTATTCGGGATTTGTTCTTAGATAAGAACAGAATCTACACACAATGAAGAGCACAAAGGTGTGAACAATTCTGCAGTTTAAGAACACGTCATATATCTGACATAGATTTGTTCTTAGGTCCTTTCTCAAGAACAAATTTAATTAAAAAAAAAAAGGTAAAGAAAAATATTGGTACTTGATACTTAGTCTGCTCTTAAATTGGACTTTCACTCAATATAGTGCCACTGTTTAAATTTTGAACTTTTTCGTTGCATTATCTGCATCAAGACAGACAGAAGCTAAACAAAAAACACTTTCTTGGTATACTCACAGCTTCTGACTTTGGAGGCACAGGGGGTGGAGGTAGACTGATATCTGTACTGAGGAGAGCACTAGTGGAACCAGGACTGGGGTAGGGCAGGACAGGAGGGCAGCTAGAGATGCTTGTGTTTATTCGGACAGCCTCAGTGTGCTCATGTACAGGTCCGCGGTTCTTTGCGTGGTCCAGCCACAGTTCCTCATATGGCAGATCCGGTTTATACAAGCTGCCTTGACCAGAAGAGGTGTCTAGCAGCTCGGGAAACAGATAATCTGCATCTTGTGGTTCGGGAGGCACATATTCCCCATACAGGCTAACACATCCTTGCAGGTTCACCTCACTGTTGCCATGAAGATTGTTACCATAGACACAGACGGAAAGCCGATGGAAGGACTGAGTGAGCTCGTCTCGCGCTGAACTGAGCGAGCTTGGCAGGTGAACATGAGCGGGACAGCCATTGCTACCGACGTTGTTGCTGCTGTTTCCACCCCCACTGCCGCTCCCTGTTCCTCCAGTACCACTCTTCTTGGGACTCTTGCCATCCTCCAGCCAGTCCACTCGCACATCGCGAACTGCCCTCGAGTAGTCGTCGATGTTGAACTGCTCCTGGCAGTAGGTGAACCATCGGTGAACCACTGTTTCCAACCAGGCCTCTCCATGCAGCAGCCCCTCAGGTACCAACAGCCGCGGCAAAGCCGTGGCTACATGCAAAGGAAAGTGCACGGGGAGCACCTTGTTGGATCGCAGCACGCAGCACACCACCACCGTCTTCGTCTGGATGTTGACGAGCTTGTAGCGATGACCCTCGCGGATCAAGTGCAGGTCGTGCGGGTTGCGTGGTGGGCTGCTGGGCACAGTCACATTCACAGGGAGTCGCGTCTTTTCCACGATGGTGCGGATGGTGTGCTCGCCCTCCTGCATCTGCAGCTCCAGGGGGGAGCAGGTGCTGAAGCGGCCCCGACACTGGAAGGGCAGGCTAATGCTCTCGTTCGTGCGGTGGTTCATGCAGATGAGGCATGGCATCTTGCCACGGCCAAGCTTGCCGATGGAGTTGAGCTTTCCAATCCGCTTGAAGATGGTGTTGAAGCGTGACTTTTCCCTCGACGTTTTAGCATAGAGGATCTCAGCCTGGCCCATGAGGGTTAACTCGTCGCCAGTGTTCAGAGTGATGTTGTATACCTCTGTGTCCTCATTGCATTCGCCTGAGGCCATCTGCAGGGAGACACATCAGCATTAAGAAACTTTTTTTTTTCTAGATTTTATGCTCAACTTCCTAATTATCTATAAAAACTTACACAATATTTTTTTTAAACCAGCAGAAATTTACAACTGACTACAGATAAAGACGCTAGGACACACAAAGACAATGGGACTTTGCATTTTGAATCAGGCAACGTCATTGTGAATTCAGTTGGGAAAACAATGAAAGGTCTGTTTTACATTCAGTGGCCCATCAGCTATGTTACAACTGAGGGCACACATTGCTAATCAGAGTTGGGAAGTAACAGAATACACATAATGAGATTACGCACTTAAAATACAAAAAACGGACAAAGACAGCACAGACTACAAGTACTTCTAAAACTTAAGGTGATCACTTATAGGATTACATTAAACACTTTAAGAGGGTGAAAAAGGGCTCTGATAGAGGGAAGCTCTCTATATAAGAAAACCAGACCTTAACATTGAACGTTATTTCCTCCATGACATAGACTCGCTCAGGGAATGCTTTGGCCACTTCTTCCACACTGTTGAAGTACTGCACAGGCTCCTTAATGTCCCTGTCCTGCTCCAGGAGTTTGAACTGACCTGTCCAATGGGTGAAAAAAAAAATTAACTTGTTATACACTTTATTTGCTCTTCAAAAAATAATACTGAGTAGCATTAAAATTTTTCAAAATTTAGGAAAATAAATGTGAATTTCAAATGTGGATACAGGTGTCTTTCTGAAATTTGTATCTTGTTGCATATATTGCCAACATCTTGACAGGTAATTGGGCTAAAAATTAATATCCATAATACAACTGCTGTACACTATTTTTCCATTATGCCATTGGGAAACAAAGTAAATAGTTTTATTTTTTTTGATGCCTTATCATTTAAACTTGTTTCTCAACACAGCAGATTTCACCCTTGTGAAGATAAGAATAAACTGACTACTCTGGGCATGTTTTATTCTGTTGAAAAGTGTCTGCCATTTTTTCGTGCGACCACTGCTTGTACTTTCTGCTTAACCTTTATATCCTCTCTTACTGCAGAAACCCTGATATCACAAACAAAATCAGTAAACCCTTTCTAACTGTCATTGTCACTTCATGTAGTACTTTAATTACATACAGTAAATAATACTAGTCATAATTAAACGCTAATAAGTACAGTTCACTGGTGCCTATAAACACAGCATCCAAGAATGTATTTTAGAAGATGAGAACACTTTGCTGTTGTTGACTGGCAACAAAAACATTTTTTAGAGCTTGGTTACATAAATACTCCATACAAGCATGATTAATTTGATATGAGGTCACAGTTTTTTTCCACTGGACTTGAATTTCCATTCTTTTTACAACTCGAAATTAAAACATTAACTTTATCAGAGCCTATCAAAGCATTTAAGGGCTGTATGAAAGGTCCCAGTTACTCAGCATCAAAGCTACGTTGCGTCACTGGGGCTGTTATTGACTTAAATCACAACACCGGGGTTAAAGTTCTTAATTTATTTAATATTCTTAACTTACTGCTGAAAAAATATGGATGCTATAATAACACTACACAATTTCTTGGTGCTTCTCTTTGGTGGATTTTCATATCAATTTTAGAATTAGAAAGGCAATGAGCCCCCCCTACCCCCCCTTTAGAATTTATGCAGCCAAACATCCTTCTCAACAGAGTGACGTCAGCATGGAGAGGTCAATTAGATAATTGCCTGCCAGCGTAAAACTGATGGAAACTGCTGCAGTCCAGATGGACGCAGTACCTTCACTACACTTGCTGAATTAGCCTGTCCTGTTTCTCTTTTAATTCTTAAATTAATTCTGTTCACAATTAGTCCTTGTGAACATTACACATCACAGAGCTTGTCCTATACCCCTTCTTTACAGCAAAAGAAAGTGCACTGTCAGGAGAGTGCTGAGAGAATGAGAGCTAGCACTACACAATGCATCCACATCACTGCGAGCAGCCTCACCCTCATAATGGACAGGGATCTCGATTTTCGGTCCGATGACATAATGGCCCTCCTCCAGGCTATGGGCGGTGATCGTGGTCCACTGCCGACACGAATGAATCAAGAGGTAGTCGTTTTCTCTTAGCCCTTCCACCGATTCCCCTGGAGAGAAAGACACTTATCTACATCAGTATGGAAATAGGACACTATGGTATCAGCACATTAAGTTAGTTGAGGACAGAGCGTTGAAGACACTTTCACAAAGAATGATCTGAACACAAAAAAGTACTCAATGTAATATAGTAAAAGAGTTAAACACGCAGACTTTCTAAATTAAGCTAAGATATTGCCTAGCCAGCCTCCTCAACTCGAAGAAATGCTAAGGGAAGTCATTTACATAAAATCTACTGATGTATCCTTTCCAGATTGCATCTACATTCAAATCACACTCATTCATTACTAATTCCCACCCAGACAAGTTATTCACCGGTTCAAGAGGAAAGCTATTGCCATAATTCAGGATGCTATGCATTCCCTTTACTGTTACTTCATCTGCTCCCACCAGACTGCCGCTATACAGGTCCACTGGCTAAAACAAATGGTTTTAGAAAGCCGTTTTTATCCCAGTGGCTACTGTATTAGTAAATAATGTAGCATTTTTAAATACAACCACCAATATAAATGAATACATATAGACTAATGTGTGCACCGTGTATATTAAACTTATCATAACTTGAAGAATATAACTGACTTTGATTTGATGAAGTATATGTATTAGAATGATATTGCATGGTGCTCAGCTTGTACTTGAGTAGACGAATGTTGTGTGTATGTGAGATATATGTGATGTGGCACGTCAAAGACAAATTTCTGTCATGTAATAATAGACAAAATATTGACTCTGAACATATTCCCAGTGTTTTGCCTGGGTTTTTTTTCCCCCCAAATTCCATGTAAGAGGACTTGTAACAGATGTGCTTATAAAGCCAGCAGAACTAACATTCCACTGGAGATGAAATGGGAGATGAGTCTCTCTGATCACACAGTTCATGGAGCTGCTACTGATAATGGAAGGTAAAAAACATAAACTTATCACTGAGGCAATCTCTGTAACGTAAATCAAATCTTTGTTGTCAAGCCAGTTCCTACACCAACAATGGGCAAGGGGTGCAGCCTTTATGCAGGTCCTGTGATCTACAGCTCATAACAGTGGAGAAGTTTCGGGAAGCGATGATTTGAAGATTGGCGAATAGGTGTAGTGCAACGTATGGTTCAATTTGATTTACACCAACTCACAATGAGCTTATATAGCCTAGTTTCTCTACAATCTGTCTACACTGCACACAACCAACCCCTTAAAAAGCTAAGCTTTAAGAACCAAGCGAACTGCAGCATTAGTAAACAGCGAACATTTGTAGCGAGGAGGTAATATTAGCTACAAATATAGCGCTAAGATTTTCTTTGTTGTCCAACAACGTGAATGGGAACACGCTTAATTATCTCGGTTTTAGCAAAACTGTGCTGACAAGCCATTAAAAACTAAGTAACTTTAAAATGCCCTGCTGCAGTGTTAGCGACTAGCGAGCTGGCTAACTATCCACAGGCACTGACAAAGCAGCTAGCTAGCGAGCAGGCTGGCTAACTTTAGCAGGAGAGCTAATGCTTGGAATGCCGAGCGAGTAACATCGCCTCCCACGCTCGGGAGTCGGAGCAAGTTTTAGCGAGCAAATTTCTCATCGTGCATGAATAAAAGCGACTCGAAAACTGCACCGAGGAGGCCTTTCGTGTTTGTAAAGTGAGTTTAAGTTGCTGAAGTTCGACCTTACCGCCGTCCAGTTTGACAATCTGCGGGAGTCTGTAGGCACTGACCAGCCGATCCAGGGGCAGAGTGGTGGAGCTCCATGTCACATCCTTTAAACTGTTGTACAGCATTGAACCCACGTCCATGTTAGCTCGCTAACACACGCGCCTCATATCCCGCCGCCACGTTCATCTGCAGCGAAGAGCGGCTGTTTCATGGAGAAAAGCCTTCGGCGGACGCTCTGTTTCGCTCACTTAAAGGACGAGGCCATGGCAGCCCGACGGCTCTGTTTACACTCACAGGAAATGCCATGACTCCCTCTGACCATAGAGATCTGGAGACCGCTTCCTCTTCTCCCAACGGCTCCTCGCGGTTGCCGAAGCAACCGTCGCCATGTTGAAGTGATGCGATAAATCGATCGATTCAGTTCAGCCGATTCTTTCGAAGCGATGGTTCAGTTCGATTCCCTTTATCGAACCGACTCTTTCATACTTTTACTGAAGGGGAGTTTAGTTTATCAGTCCGAATCTGTCGGGGTGGTTCCATTTAGTGACGGTTCGGTTCGATTCAGTTTATCAAATCTTTTTTTTTTTCAGACTGCTGGCTCGCTGAAGAGGAGTTTAATTTACAAATCCAGTTTTGTTCAGAGTAGTTTAGTGACTGTTTAGATTGATTTACTTTATTGAAGCAAATCAGTTTTTTTTTACTTTTAGTGAAAGGTAATTTAGTTTACCATTCAGATTATTTCAGAGTTGTTACACTTAGTGATGGTTCAGTTTGATTCTGTTTATAAAGCAGATTCTTGTGTAGTTTTAGTGAAGGGACTAGTTTGCCAGTGCAGTTCTTTTAAAGCAACTACAATCGGTGACGGTTCAGTTCAATTCAGTTCAGTTCATACGTTCAGTGAAGGAGGGTTTACTGATCCGGTTCTTTTAGCGTAGTTACATATAGAAACAGTTCAGTTGGATTCAGTTTATTCAGTTTTTCAGGCTATTTACCGAAGGCAAATTTAGTTTACCGAATCAGTCCTTTTGAACTAGTCACATTTTGTAACATGTAGTTCCATTAGTTACTTTTACTAGCAAGATGTAAAGCTGGGCAATGTGACAATATTTATCGTTATTGTGTAAAATAATCACAATATGCTTTTCTGAACATATTAGTACTTAAAAATCACTTTCCAACTGCATGTTTGAGTAGAGAGTATTGTTAGTCCTGTTTCATTAGATTTAGTGCAGCACAGTGTGTGAAATGTTGAATACAATTAATTGGATTCACAGGTTTCGATAGTATTTTTAAAATGTGGCACTGCTTTGTCTGTTCTAACTCATCAGATGTCAGAAAAGATAAAGATTCAACGGTTTGTTTCACAAGTCAGGTGAATTTTATCCTCATATCCTCCACACAGTACTGTGCAAGTCTTAGGCAGGCATGAAAATTGTTTATCTCAGCAGTAAGTGCTTTTTCTCCCTGTAAAACATTTATATAACATTAGAATAAATGCAAATAAACATTCAAATACAGTAAACTGTCTATATTGGTTATAAGAATACAGTTAGAAAACAGGTTTGGTCCCTAACTTCTCTGTGCACTCCAGTCATTGCATGGATTTGTTCATTTTCAGCAGCACCTGATTTCATTTAATTCAGGATTGACCAGCTAAAGCAGGAATTATATGGCAATCGTAAATACTGCACTTCTTAGAGGAGAGGTTTGAAACGGGTTCAGTTAACAGGTAAAATCACAATGTATTATTTGTATTTATTACAATGTTAAAGGGACTTATGGACAAGTAAATGCTGATTACCCAGATACATTTTATTTTCTTAGATGGCTGAAGACAGGGCTGCCCAGTGTTGGCTTTTTGAAGTATTTTAGTAATAAAATTTTTGGCCCTCGATATTATATAATTTTGAACCCCTGATATTATATAATACTGAACAATGAGATTCAGTTTAGTGAGTGAGTTCACAACGACTGCCCACAATAATGAGCCAAGTCAACTGTATTCTCATTTCATTCATGTATTTTGTGATTTTAGCAGGTTTGATGTTGCGTCTTCTACTCAGTAATGAAGTGAACTTATGAACATTTCTCCCATGATGTTAACTTTACTTTAAAAAATGCAATCAATGTCTACAAAGCCTGATGTTCTCAAGGATTAGTCAGGCCATTATTTTCACCTCCTCCATGTGCTGTTAGATTCAGTTCACTGAGTCTTCAAAAAAAATGATTCATTTATGAGTCAGACATCACAGCCATGTGAGAGGAGCTTTGCTACTTTGCTGCTGCCATTATGCTTACCGGATCTTCCAGAGTACTAATTATATAACAGAATTATTAGCATTGTGTGTTTACAGCTTCCTGTAGCCATGGATCATGGGCAGGTGCCCAGAACGTTAACCCATATTAACCTATATTGATTAATATGAATAACATCCTAGGGACTTGCCTAGTATATGGCCAAACACAGCTGTCGATTTAGAGAGGGGAAGTGGGAAACGTCCATAAAGTTGTAAAGCTGCCTCTTAAAATTATATTGACCCTCTTATCTCACATGTCCTCAAATCTGACGTCTGACACAGTCAGTGGTCTGCTAGATCTTTGACATTTTCATTTCTTTCCTATGTCTGATCAAAGCATCTCTCTTAAAACTCATTTTAAAACTGTCAACCAATATTAGTTAAATGGTAATTCCACTGCCTGGTGTTGAACAGAGGAAGAAGGGTTCTCCTTTTGAGATTTGGTTTCTTTTCCTCTTAAGGAGTTGGATGCTGATTTCTGTAGGCGAGAATGTGATAAGATGAGCAATCTTCACTTTTTTAATTTATTTAGTAAGGCAAATTGATTATTTTACACAACACTGATGCCAGTTTATACCTTAGAGTTTTGTGCCTCTTTGGCAGTCAGTGCCTTCTGTTTATATTAAATAGATTATTAGATGTGCAGTCTGATAAAATGTCTTTTGGCACAGTTTACCCTGTGTGTAAGTTGAACTATTTCTACTAGTTCTATTTGAACTACTGTTCTATTAAATGAGATATTGGGTGGTTGCAAATTGAAACAAATGCACCATCATTTACTTTCTTAAACGGTCATTTGATCAAACATAGTATAAATAGACATTAACAAGCTATGTTTAGGCCTCGTTGTGCAGCATTGAAACAACTCTGTGAAAAACTCCAAAGGTGTTCTTCATGAAAGTGGTGGCCATTCACAAAGATGTTTTATGCTGGGCGGTTGTGTCTCATGAAAGAGATCACTTCCTGATACAGTGATAGTTATGCAAAACCAAATTTACATACGTTTCCCCTGTGCTAATGTAGTCAATCAGTTATTTTTAGTTTTGAAGTGGAACTTTGACATGCTCTGTCTATAATAATTCCAGCTTTGTGATGCTGCTAATTTTGTTTTTAGCTATGCAGTGTAATTTTATTCTTGTTTACAGAAAACACATCATACAGTCTTCCAAACCAACAATGATTTAGGAGAAAGCAGCTTGTACAATGCTAACTGGTGGAGTAAAAATCTCCTTTATTTGTTGCTACACTAGCCTTATAGCTGGCCAGGTGTCTCATTATTTTATGATATTTTTATGATATATACATTTTTTGGCCTAAGATAACTTTTTTTGATTCACAACTATTTTACATCAACATTACCTATAATTCAGACATGTATAAGTTCACTGGTCATAGTAAATAAAATGACTGTATTTGTAAAGTAAATGGTGCCTATCACCACCACTGTAAAGAAATCCAAGTCAGTAAGTTTCTCCACAGTGAACCACACCACATCAAACCACTCGGAATAACTTTGTTCACATCTCAATGAGATTTTGATAAATTCCCAGTTCCCCATTAAGGTATTTATAGCTTATAAGATCACAAAGTAAATTGTAATATATCTGAATATTCTCCTACTGTGTGAACCTCCAAGAAATTGAGCTAGAAGGGCAGGCGTGTTTATTTATATTGCACATTTCATACACAAAGGCAATTCAATGTGCTTTACAGAAATAAAAACAAAAGAACATTAACATAAAGTCCTAAAAAGATGCAAAGTGAAATAATTAAAAATAATAATAATAATAATAATAATAAAAACATAAAAAGAAATTAAAGAAAATTAGCCTATGAATTATAGACACATGAGAAAAGACAAAGAGGAAAGTTTTTGACCTGGATTTAAAAATTACGTTTGGAGCACATTTAAAATTTTTAGGAGTATGTTCATCAGTTAAACACTACTTTACCAGGTTTAGTTTGGACTCTAGTAGCTGGTGTTCTGAAAGACCTACTCAGTTTAAATTCTTTAAAAGTATCAGAGATGTATTCTGGGCCGAAACCATTCAGTGATTCATAGGCTAGTAACAGCACTTTAAATCTATTGTATAAATAACTGGAAGCTCTTGCAACAGCATTTTGAGTAAGCTGTAGCTGTTTAATGGGCTCTTTGGGAAGTCCAGTGAAGAGACCATCACAGTAGTCAACACTGCTGGAGATAAACACATAGATAAGTTTCTCGGGGTCTTGTAGGACACCAAATCTTTGATTCTGGTTGTATTTTAAAGGCGATAGAAAGCTTTTGGTGATTGCTTTGATATTGAAAGTGAGGTGCGAGTCCATTAGAATGCCAAGATTTTTGACTTGATCTTTGGTTTTTAGAGCATGGAAATTGAAGTGTGCACTACTATTAAGTCTCTTCTCTTCGTTGCCAAGCACAATAATTTCTGTTTTGTTCTTATTTAATTGATGAAAATTCTGTCTTAATTAATCAAGCATCTGAAGTATGCTTTTCAGTGTTGTTGTTCTGTAGCATTTGGCCCAGAGGGAGCATATGGAGACTGAACAGAAGTGGTCCAAGAACTGATCCCTGGGGGACTCCGCATGTTATAGCCACTTGATCAGATTCATAGCTGCCAATGATATCAAAGTAACTCTGGCCTTCTACATAAGACCTGAACCAGTTGAAGAAAAGAAAAAAAATCACACTTTGGATATAAATCAGTCACTGCATTCCCCATGTACCTGTATCCACCATAGACCATATGATTGCTGAGATTGTTGGGGTGGTCTAAAGCTGCTTTTCCCCCACACAGCAGACTGAGCAAGAACCCTACATTATGCCAATAAGTGTCCTTATAAACTGTTATGGGGAAAGTAAATCTCTTTGTCTTCTGAAGGAAATAAATGAGCTGTGAGTCCTGATGGAAGCACTTCCTATCTGACAGTGTTTAGTTTCGTTGTGAAAGCCTTAGATTACATGTTGCAAGTTGAGTCGGTGCTCATCAGCTCGTAACAGGGAAGTGCAGCTTTCAGTAAGAGTTTACCAGCAGTTGAGGGAACATGTCATTCGTGAGCACTCTGCGGCAGTGGGATGAAGCAGTGGCTTATGTGGAGAAAGGAGACATATCCTCTGCTATCAGGACATTCCTGGCCATCGAGGAGAAGACATCTAAAATCACCTACAACATTGGATGCCTCCATCTGCACAACGATGACTTTGATGCTGCTGAAAAGGTAAAGCCTTGTAAAGCTGTTAGCTTTGTCAAAATGATAAAGTGAAGTGGCCTCAGAGTGCGTTATTGTGTGCTTCTGTCTCACAACTTCATATTAGTGCACCAAATGTGGTACAGACTTATGGCTTAGTTTAGAATTCGGTTAAAAAAATCTGGCATAAAAAGAAGAAGTAATAGTTGTTTCAGACCCTTAAGAGGAAGCTCACTATTATTTTCTCTTTTCAAGGCATTTGACAGCAGTATCGGCAAAGATGAGCACCTGGCTGTGGCTTTTTTTCAAAGGGGAATTACATTCTACAAAAAAGAAAAGTAAGTGTGACAACCGTTAATCAGCACCATAATAAGTTTCAACAAATAAAGCATAATAAGCTAAGAGTTAAGAAGCTACAGATAGTAATGTTGTGATGTCCAGAACATTGTGCTAACAGGAAGTGTGTTGTGAAAGTCAGAAAGGTTTCTCTTTCAGGGCCTAAACATCAATCTTCATTATACTCTTAAGAAATGATACTCATATCTAAATATATCTCAAGGTTTGAGGAGTCACTGCTGGATTTCCAGCAAACTTTTAAGGAGCTAAGAGGGAATCAGCTGATAGACTACAAACCTCTCGGCCTGAGGTATAAGCTTAACGCTTGCGAGGTAAGAATTATGTAGAGCAATATTTGCTCTTTGGGTTGTAAATATATATATATATATATATATATATATATATATATATATATATATACACACTACAATACATGATGGAAGTAAAGGAGTTAGGTAGTACATGCATTATAGTAGTAACACTTTACTGTGCACACCTAAAAATGATGGTTCTTCAAGGGTTCTTCAGTAAAAAAAAAGGTTCTATATAGACACTTAAAGAGCCATTTGCATGATTAAAGTGTTCTTTAAATTGTACAAAGGATTGTTCAGTTTGATGGAAAATGCATTGAATATTTAAAAAGGGTTCTATATAGCACTAAAAAGTGCTCTTCTATTGTTATGATGCCAAGCCTGTAATAATAGAAGAACTCTTTTTGGTGCTATATGGAACCCTTTTCAAAAAGGTTCTATATAGAACCATATTGAACACATTCTCCTACAAACTGAAGAATCCTTTCATGATTCAAAGAACCCTGTAATCATGCAAAGGGTTCATTGAGTGTTTATGGTTCTATATAGAACCATTTTCTTTATTTAAGAACCCTTTAAAGAACCATTATTTTTAAGTGTGTAGGGCAGTGATCATAAGGCTACAGGACAACTGCCATAAACCTACATAAACATTTATAAACACTTATTCCAATAGGCATTGACTGTCATAAAAGCTGCTTTTGTCAGCTTTGATTTCAAATTGATGTAATATCTACATCAGGTTGTACTGATGTTTTCAGACTTTGGATTGTGTCTGACTTTAGTTTTAGTGAACTAACACAGCACATTATGACAACTGACTTTGTAGTTTAGTGTATATCACAGTGATGATGTATAGTGTTGATGACATGACATAATTCAAATGGTCACACTTAACCCTTATAAAGGGTTTATGAATGGTTTTATTAATGGTTATTAAGTAGCAAACTAATAAGCAGTTATAACACATTAATAAACAGGACAGCAGTGACCCGTTGCTCATCAAATAGTGTGCCCACATTAATCTCTACTGTCAGTTGTCAGCAGGTATTCATATTCATCAGACAGAGCAGCTCATTGTTGCCTGTATCAATTATGTGTTATAACATCTTATTAATGATTTGAAGGACCTAATTGTTAACCTTTTATAAACTAATTTTAATCCATTCATAGATCCTTTTGAAGGGTCGTCTCATTGTAAAGTGTTTCCATTTAAATCTTACAAATGATGAACTGAAATTTACTTTATCTAAGGGCCACAGAAAATGCTTACTTTTGTTCCACTAGCCTGATGTGGCAAGCTACTGTAGCTATGTCATATCTGCATTATGTCACTGTGACACACACTGATCTCAGAGTCCATCATATCACCCCAGAAAATGTCATGACAACCTAATGTCAAAAAAAATCAGTCACCTGTCATAGATGTTGTGTCAACTTGACATCAAAGTTGGCAAATGCAACCTTTATGACATTATTCCTCCAGGAGCTGCTCTTTATGAATGTTTATATAGGTCTATGTCAGTTGCCATGAAGGGCATATGTAGGTGTCATGTGGCCTTATGAACACTGCCCTACAGTAAAGTGTTAACAAGTGATGTTTAGAAGAATGTACTCATGGCACAGTAGATGATATTACAGCACTAGATTATAGTGTTTTAATTATTCTGTACATTTAGGTGCTGCACAATATTGGACTACTTTATGCCAAGCTGGGGAAATGGGAGAAGGCCCAAGAAAACCTGCTCACAGCTCTCAACCTCCGCACAGAAGCCAAATTCAGTCACATTGACCAGGCACTGGAATCCATTCTGGTCAGTTAACCCTGTAGAGTTCATTCAGAAACGTTATACTATTACAACTGTCATACTTACTGCAATGCAGTGCAAACTTATTGAGCAGGACTTCTTAGGCTTGTATGAGGAACATGAAGATGACATTGCATCATTGGTTCTGGTTAAACTCTGTGGGCAGGTTATGTGGGCTGAAAGAGAAGTTCACGTTAAATGACACTGATTTGCACGGATGCAACCAAATGCTATTTTTAGCTTTTCAGTTATGTTGTGACAGCATTAGATTGCAATGCTTCTAAAACTTCATGTGAGAAGAATGCTGTTACTTTCAAAGTTAACCCTTGATTAATGAACACATCAGCTGATGGTTTTCTTTAATACGATTGGCTGGATACCAATATGGCTAAAGGCCATTGCAAGTTATTCGAATGTTTCTGTGCTGAGCATATAACAATATGTATTCCAGCTATTGTCTCTTTACACATGCAGAAGCAGAAGCTCTTTTCTCTGGTGGAGATTAAACCAGGCCTACTATTCAAACCCAACAAGAATTATGTGGCAGAGCTGGAGAAGAAGGACTACCTAGGAAAGGCCAAGGTACCCAAACACATTATTACCCAATTTTAGTTTACTATTAGCCGTAACATCTGGAAAACAACAGTAGTTTTCACCGCAAGTCATTACCACATGCTGTGTAGAAGCTGTGAGAGTTAGACTGTGTGGATGTTCTCGTTCACAGGTTCTGTCTTCTGTTGTTCCAGCTGATAATTTCTCTGGATTTGCCCCTCTGCAGCCTCAAGTGAGTCGAGACATGTTTTTGAATTGTGGTATGGTATTTTTAGGCCTAGATTAAAGGTACAAGGACTTTTGTTGGTAGACATCAAGCAGTGGGGAATAAAAGCAGTTTCAGCTAGGGACAGGTTATGGCTTGGTGGGTGGTTCATTGGTGGATATTGGCTGTTCCCTCCAACTTTCAAAGGTATCTAGATCTAAATTGCTAAGTAGAATAGATTTATGCTGCCAAGCTCTCAGAATGTGGATGATAAAAACAGAATTGAGACAGTAATGAGTTGATGGTAATAATCAATCTGAAGTAGAACTACACCACAGATAAACACTGAACAAAAACATGAGCGCAACCCTTTTTACTGATTTTACTGAAACCCTGCAAAAACAGGGTGAGTCATGAAACAGAATTCCCACATTACCATGTGATGTGACCAGCAATTGCCAGTAACAGCAAAACACATTTCAAGGAAAAAAAAATGTTTTTTGTTGTTGTTGTTTTTTTCTGAACAAACTGCTGCAAAATGGGAGCAAAATCAAAAGTGCTGCTCTTTTGTTAGTGTATCATTGCTGCACCCATTTCCATCATACACACCATTATGCTAACAGGGTCAGAAAAAGTGTCTAACTATCCCTCTTATTAAGGTAAAAGGCCCCATATTATGCAGTTTGCTTGCATTTCATATTTTACCATGGAGGTCCACTTACAACGTTGGTGTGGGTTTATGTACCAAGAACAATCGTAATTCATTTTTTCATGACAATTTTCAAACCTTTCTGCTCTCTTTACCTTTAAACAGGCTGTTTTTGTTATTGTACTGTTAAGACTATGCAAATGAGCTTCATTCTGATGTCCTACATTGTATTACATAGGCTCAATGGATAGGGCTAAACTGGAGTAGGTTGAATGAGGGGGGCTACAGGCTGTAGGCTGAAATCAAATAGGCTGTTTTAAAAATTTTTTTCACAACTGTGTAAAACTACAGTGGAAGTATAAAGTGGAGCTAAGTGGCAGGTAGGAATTGGTATCTACTAACATCTTTGGTCTTTGTCTAGGTTTAAATTGTCAAAAATGAAAATGACTGTCTATTAGTATTAATTTAGCATTATTAGCATGTCATAGTATTTAATCAGTATTAGCTACGTGCTTTTTCACCACATCAGAGTAGACATGAACTAACCAGACTACACTATTCACCTCACTCTAGATGCACCTTGCTGACTTATTTTCTCTGTTCAGGTTGAAGATGTACCCAGTACACCTAAAGCTCCTGAGGTACTGAGGTAAACTCAGTGCACGCACTTAATGCCTGTTCCTACTCCAAAGCTGAGACGTTCTAGTGTTATTTATAACCTCTGTGCTTGTAATCTGCAGGGCGCTTGAAGGTGAGCCTCACACTGTTCTCTACGAGTTCATTCCTGAGACCAAAGAAGAGTTAGCTGTGTTGCCAGGCAACATTGTTTTTGTCCTTCAGAGAGGAACCGACAACTGGGCATCTGTTATCTTCAATGAAAGGGTGTGTTGTGTGTCTGTGTGAGTGTGTGTGGTCTGTGTTTAAGGCACGTTCTGCCCAGAATGCACAATTTAATTTTGTGATTCCTGACTTTAAAGACTGTCTGGAGGAATTTCATTCTAAAACCTTTATAATTAGAAAATGATCTTTCTGTGAATCAGCAGTACGAGCAGAGTCATGCGACTCCTTTATTTCCCAAGGAAGAAATATTTTCTTCAAACAGAGATTTATTTTAATACTTTTTAGGGTATATAGTTTATAGATATAAAGTCAGAGAAAATTGCTCTTCTATTTCCTGCACAGTTTGTGTTGGTCATCCTCTAGTCCTTCATCAGTGGTCATGTCAGTGCTGAGAATGATCCACTACTTAAATAATACCTGCTCTGTGGTGGTCCTGTGGGGGTTCTGATCATTGAAGAACAGGGTGAAAGGGGGCTACCAAATTGTGCAGATGGACTTCAGTTTGTAATTGTAGAACTACAAAGTGCATTTGTATAGTAAATGTAGCTGATACGACGGACACAGTGTATAAACAAGGAGGTGTACTTAATGAAGTGGCTGGTCAGTGTATATATGTATTATTTACAGAGCGTGTAAGTGGAGATAATCATGTGTTCTGGTTGCTTTCTCATCATTTTCAGAGAGGACTAGTTCCATATAATTTCCTGGAACCGCTGGATATTACAGTGGCGTCAAAAGTCGTGCCGGTAAGAGTCCTTTTTAAAGACATCTTATCCAGGCAATAACAAAATATATACAGTCCTTAGCAGTTTTCACCAGGTCTTTTGAGCTAGTTCCTTTAAAAAAGGTTCAGTTGACAGCTAACATTCTGAAGCAGTAATCTTTTCTACAGAATCTGCAGGTAGTGGCTTGTGGCTGCCAGTAATTTTGTCCAGGCATCTTTTTTAATTTTCTAAACTAAAATGCTGTTTCCACATTTTTCTCTTCTATTTTCTTACGTTGTTAACTATTAATTTACCACTTAGCATTGTGTTAATAATATGTAGAAACTAAATATAAGGAAATGAGGCCTTTACAAACATTTTCTGTGAGTTTTTTGCACGAGAGAGCTATTTACTATTTATAGTTTTTTAAAGGCGGCCACTAATTTTCTACCAATTTCTTGAGGGCCTCTCCTCTTTAGGTTGCACCATCCAACAGGAATGAACAAATACCTGACCCACCAAGAAGACGAGCACCCAGTAAACCAGTGAGTGAAGCATTAGGTCAACACACGTGTGTGTGTGCATTTATTTATTTATTTATTTATTTACTTACACAGCAGCATGCAAAAGTGGCATGCAAGTGTCGCTGCACAGTAGAACAGTGCATCACCACTCCACAGTCTGCTAAATCTTCCTGAAGGTCTTTTGCAGTCAAACAGGGGTTTTGATTTGCCTTTCTGGCAATCCTATGAGCTGTTCACTCAGAGAGTTTTCCTGGTCTTCCAGACCTCAAATTGACCTCCACCGTTCCTGTTAACTGGCTTTAATATTACATTATGAACTGGGGAAACTGCTACCTGAAAACACTGTCTTATAACCTTCTCCTGCTTTGTGGGCATCAACTTTATTTGAATTTTCAGAGTTCTATGTAGCTAAGTTAACACCCTCTATTTGGAACAAATGTAAATATGGCATTTTTTTTGGTTGGGGAAAAAAATTAACTATTCATTAAAATGTGCAGAAGTGTGATCTCTGTATGTGTAAACTTACCTTCCCTTAGAAAACCAACGTGTAAATTGACTTGTATTGCCTAAATGTTTGTAGACATGTATATAATACCTGTACGGAAAATGCATACATATAACAGCTGTACATTTGAGTATATGTTTGTGCATATAAATGTTTTGTGTAATGATCAATCATGGAATTGTGTCCATTTTACATCATCTGCTTTTTCCTTGTAGACTGCTAGTAATGGAGTTTCCTCTGGCTGCATTGTGAAAGTGCATTTCGTGTTTACAATAGCAATTTGCATTACACCAGGACAGCCATACACAGCCATGCTCCAGATGATCAGCACTAAACTCAAACTGCCTGCTTCTGCACTTGCTCTGAGGTACCTACACAAACTACACAGCGCACACTACTGAGAACACAAGCTCATCTCTTAGTCTGCTGATACTGTTTATTTGCCACACTTATTGTGTGATGCACAAAGAAAGTTCTATGGACAGTGCCATTGCTTTTACAGCAGAACTGCGGAATAACTGTGTTAATGTTCCTTCTAGCTATGTAAAGCCTGATTCTAATGAGAGAGTGACTGTTGACGAGTCTGAGATGGAGGTGTTGTGGAGCTGCGTGAAGAACAATCGCCTGACGCTGTGGTGTTCAGCGTCTGAGGTACCGTAATCCAAATTCAACTCAAGTAAACAAGCACTTTTCACACTGTTAGGCAACACACTGATAACAGCAAATTACATGTTTTCAGTCTCTTTATGTGTTACATTAAAAAGGTTCACTCTTAAAAAAGATGGTTCTTCAAGGGTTCTTTAGCTTAAAAGTGGTTCTGTATAGAACATTTGAAGAACGCTTTGCATGATTAAATGGTTCTTTGCATCATGAAAGCGTTCTTCATATTGATGGAGAATGTGCTGTAGACATTTCTATACACCTTTCTGAAAATGGTTCTATATAGCACAAAAAGGGTTCTGCTATTGCTGCAATGTCAAGCTTGTAACAAGAGAAGAACCCTTTTTGGCGCTATACAGAACCCTTTTCAAAAAGGTTCTATATAGAACCATATATAGCACATTCTCCATCAAACTGAAGAATGCTTTTCACGATGCAAAGATCCCCTTAATCCTGCTGCAAAGGGTTTTTCAATTATTCATGGTTCTATATAGAACCATATTTTTTACTAAAGAACCCTTGAAGGACTTTTTTAAGGCTGTAATATTAAATTCTCACTCTACTTAAAAAGTCTCTGACCAACATTTAATTTCTAGGCAGAATTTCAAAAATCCTGTCTTGTTTCTGCTCAAATTTCTAGTAGTATCAGTAGCCTAGTGGTGCATTAAAGGCTTTAAAGGGGAATTCCATTGAAACTGCTACACAATTCATGGTGTAAATAAAGTAATTCAGAGTGGTCTGATGCTCCATTCTAGAGAAAGATTTGAGTCTTCAATAAAACTGGCCTCAGTGAAGCTTCAATGAGCTGGAATAAACCTGTGCTGTTGTGATACAGTAGCATGCTACCGGTTACAAGAAGTGTCAGGCACTTGCGAGAGGCAGCATGAGGCCAGTCCCGATTGGTCAATTGGCTCCCTGGGGCGGCCTCCCAAGCCTCGCCTCACATTTAGTGGTGCGGATGTCAGACCACCCTTAAATTCGACCCTTGCTAAGGCCACTGGGGCAGGAGCAACAAGCTCTCTCTCCCTCTCACCGTCTCATGAAATGCTTTATTTGGGTGTACCACAAAAGCCTGTGTGAGCTCTGTGCTATAGTAACACATCTGATACAAATATCAGTCTATAAACCATAAAAAGCCATCCAACAGGAGTTAACCACTTAATCAGCACAGTTTTGCATGCAGGAGGCTTTCAACACATTTAAAGGAACATCACAGATATTTATTACATGAATGGTTATGACTAAACTGCCTAAATATTTATATAAATATTTCTAAATATAAAGTTTTGGTCTAATACCCATTTTTAAAATCTATTTACGGAGATGTACTTGCAGGATGTTGAAATGCAAAATAGTACCCAAAATATTGTTATTATCAACATTACATATATACAGTGTTTGAGTAAAAAAACTACTCTCATTAGGTAGCATTAGGAACAGTTGTGTCCCCTTTCAGGCATTGAGCTGTTTTGTGGTTACTGGCAAAATTCTTTGCTCTCTAACTGCTTAGTACTGCTCACTGTGTGCAGTGCTAAATAATTTACTGGTGCCTCTCGACCTGTTAGCTTCAATCAGAACTTTATTCTCTCTAACAAAACTCTCCTCAGCAATTACCATAATGTTAGCAACACACACTGCAGCAATTTTCATTCTGTAGATGCCTTACATTTTATATATATATATATTTTCTTTTAATGAAATAAATATTAAGACAATCCCCAAAGATTTAAACTTCAATCGTCACTTTTACTAACCTCTAACATCTCTGGCGAATGTTGGTTAATGTGCCCTTCTCTACAGGGCAAGGGTTACCAAGTCTAGCAAACTTCTCCAGCCCAAAGTTGGCTTTAAAGATGCTGAGAAGTTGAAACTATCATGTTACCCCCCAACAATTTTCAAACTAACTTAATTTGACAGGAAAACTTAAGACCTGGCAACCCTAATGTCACTGGACCCACTAAACAAAACACTCCACAGCAGAACCAATAAAAAGTGGAAGTTTGTGCTTGTAAAAAAACACCTGTTCTGTAGGTGATCATGCTCAGCACTGATCAGAACTTGCGTGTTTTACATGAAGAACTCCTGTGGGGTGTAAATCTCACATATGGATGGAATGAAAATATCAATAATAGAAATCTTAAGTGATATCACATTAATCCAGATGGGATGGACATGGGGGGATTGTCGTTTTACAAGAGAGATGGTTTGTCTTGTTTTCTTTTGTCTGGCATCCACTTACATTCCCCCTCAAATTGAGCCCTGCGTATAAAAACTCAGAAGACGTGTAGGTTCACTGTTCATTTGGACAGTAAATAATGGCCATATTTGATTAGGACTTCTGGTTCCCATCACCACTGCTGTAAAGATCAGCAGTACTTTGCACAGCTGATTATATATTTTAACAACAAATTTTGAATAAAAAATTGTGATTTGCATATTATGTGAACAAATAGCTCATGTATTATAGACAAGATATTTTTAACTAATCCCACTTCTTTAGTGTGCATCACTCTTTCTCCCTCCTTGTTCTAGGACACAAGTGAAACTCGAAAGAAAATGGTGGCTCTGTACTCTTATGAGGCCTCTACACCAGAAGATCTGGCGTTCAGTAAAGGTGATGTCATCACCGTCCTCTCTAACGGTAAGAAATACAGCTGACTCTTTACATTCCTGTACTGCAGACGTACACTGAAATACATGTTTATAATATCTGTAAAGTACATATCACTGTATTCTTCTGATCACTGCATTTTAATTATGGTTTTCATTTTTCGCTTTAGTCAATGAAGAGTGGCTTGAAGGGGAGTGCAATGGGAAGACTGGTATCTTTCCATCATCTTTTGTTATAGATCAGTAGACTGAGTCATTGCTGAACGACATAACGAATCCAAAATAATCTCATATTTATGCACCAGTGTTGTAATCAGAAATCACTGTGTGTAAAATCAGCTAAGAGAGCTTATCTGCAGTACTTACAGCAGGTGTGTTACTTTTACACATATTAACATTCACTATTTAACTATAAATTCACAAGAGTTTACAAATGATTGTATCATTTAAAAATTACATGTAGAAGTGTTTGTTATTTTGATCCAAATAAATCAACCTATAAGAACACTTGAAAACCTGATGAGCTGACATTTACAGAATGGTAATGAGCCCATATCCTACATTTTTCTTGTATTTTCCAGGTTTTCTTGCACTGTTGTGAGTTACCCTAATGCCTAAAAATATCATTTAAAAGTCAGTGTTGTCGCCTCAGACTTGGTGGGAGTTTTCCAAACTCCATGTCATACATCTTTACGTATTAATGTCACACACACAGACTCAAAAAGATGCTCAATGTTTAGGTGTCAAATGCAAACTCAACATTTTACTGATGGAGATATGATGACTGTAGTCGATCATTCACTTACATCCTCAGAAGACACGTCCTTCACCAAGTTTTGACAATTATCTTTGAATACTCTTTCAACATGCTCACAATTATCAGATTTATCCGCTCGTAGGGGTCCAAAGCACAAACGATGTTACAAAATTTTCCATACGTTGCCTATAATTACACTTTGCAACCAGAGAGGTCTCCAAAGTCAATTAAATTGTCATATATAAATTTCTCGCTATCCATGGGTGCACAGTGATGTAATCAAAAGATGAGCAAAATTCTCTAAACAATTTTTTTCTTTTAAATTGTATGACATTGTGAATTGTGCTAAATATAAGCAAAGAAATAAACTAACAAGGAAAAAAGCTCATTTTGATTTCATGCTGATGTGCAGCATAACAGTCAGTGCTATGTTCTCTTTGTTTTTTAATAATTAGAGTTTAATGCAGAGGAAAATCAAGATGTACAAATTTAAAAAATAAATATGTTGGACACACTGATGTTTGTAGGAGAGCAGATGACTGTTTCTGACATCAGGAAGAAAGCTGAAAGTACCACACATTTTCCCCTAAAAGACGAGAAAAGAAGAAGTGGAACTGAGGGAGAAAAGTTCTCTTAAGTTCATGAAAAAGAGGACATCAGCCAGACAGCTTTATTTTCTGTTTTTTTCTGCTATTTATTTAAATAATTCCTTAAATTACATGCAGTCAGCCTTCAGGTTTAGTTACAGTCAAATGCAAAAGTTTGAACACCCCTGGTCAAAGTACGTGTTCTGTTGATTTTCTAAGTTAAGATCCTTGACAGAGAACACACTTTTTCTGCCTTTTTTCCTGCAAATTTCAGTACACAATTTCTGTTTTTCTGCATAAAATATACACCACAAAATACAGAATCTGCCATAACCTTTGCATATGCCACATTTGTTTTATGTTTTACAATGATTTGATGTTAAACTCAGCAAATAAGTAATTATGCAATGAAAGTGTGCAAAAGTGTGTCCCTGTGGAGAATGTGTAACATTCATCTAAAAAAACAAAACAAACATTTTATATATATGTATATATATGTACATATATATATACACATATATATATATATATATATATATATATATATATGTACATATATATACACATATATATATATATATATATATATATATGTCATTTGACCAGGTACCTAAACTTTCACGTATGACTGTACAGATTATTTAGCCTTTAGATTGGTTCTTGATTGACTTAGCTGAAATTATATATAGATAATTGTGTGGACAATAGATAGGTAATTGTAGCTTTGTGTAAGGTGATCAGAGATATCATATGGGTTCAGCAGGGCTGAGTAATAAGAGGTTATTTATCATTATCATGATGAATTGCATATTGTGTTTTGACACTCTTACTTTATGATGTACTTGCCCACCTGCTCACCAAAAACTCTGTTTTGGTTTATATATGTGTCCCTCGCTTTTCCTTACTCACATTACCACTGAAATATTAGTGCTTAAGTTTATAATACTGCACCTTTATCTTTCAGCAGCAAGACACACACACACACATATACACACAGTCCACACAAGTCCAACAGCTGCACTGCCCAAAAAAGGGCATGTATTAAAATTTTATGTCTAGTTCCAAAGCACTGCAATATGACATAATATGCTGCAGTGGAGAGCTCTCTCATTTCCTTCTGTACTCCAGAGACAAACACTGCTGTGTACTGTGCTGTAAGTCAGGTGAGGCAGTCTCTACTGTCTGTACCCTCCTCTTCATAAGCAATAGCAATACCTCGTCTTCCCTCCACAGCTTTCACCACCGGAGTTTCCCCCAGCTTAGGCTCCAAACCCTGCCAGCTACGGCCGGCAAGAAACGATGCTGTCAACAGAAAGCACAAATGTTTTATTATGAGAAACATATTAAAGTGCCCAGGTCCTGTATTTTTCTTGCATTTTATTTTTTGCCCACTTATAATTTTAGTGTGTTTATGTATGGAAAAAAGTCACAGTTCATTTTTATATGACCATTTTCCAACCTCTCCTTAAATAGGGCTAAACTGCTATAGGCTGAATGGGTGATACTAAACTGCTATAGGCTGAATAGAGGGATGTATGTAAATGTGTTGGTTATTCATGACATCACAGACACAATGACTTCCAAGCAGGCCATTTTTGCAGCTTAGTTGCCATATATAGATGGGAAATGAACAGTATTCATTCATCAAAGTTGTGTCGGCGTCTTTAATGACGTACAAACTACTCAAACATAAAACTTTCGCACGACACAAACAACAAGCAGAGATTTGAGCACAAATGATGAATCAGCTTCACTGCGTGAATTCAAGCTCCAGTGCACGAGTACCTCATTTACATATCATTTACATGAAGCACACCTTAATTTATGCAGATGTTTCAGTAGAGAGAAAATAAAAAGACAGCTTTCAGCAACTCATGAGCCAATGGCCAAGCTGGTAGGTGGAGCGTGAGGTCGAGTAGTGAATTCACTGCTCACCCTACTGATCAAACTTTATAGTGTCAAAATTACGACAACTGAAAAAAATACAGTACAAAATTATCAAAATGTCTAGATCTTTTTTAAGACTGCAGAATGATGTGATTGTGTAGCGTGATTCATTTCCTAAAATAATATGTTAAAACACTAGTGTGTGAAATGCTTCTGTGCTAGCTATATTTTATTTTTTTGGGGTGGTGACAGTAGAATAAAACAAAAGCAGGGGGTAAAATGTCTTTAAATCTAACATGGAATAGTTGCAGCATCTGTTTATACCAACATGCATATAAAATAAGTACATCAATATTTCACTTTTATTCTTCTCGCTGGTATTATAGATGAAATTGATAACAGTTTTGGTTAGTTAACTGCAAATCAAGCATTTTTTCAGGTTGTTAAATTACTGCACTTAAATGCAACTTTGATAAATGCCAGTATTTGAGCCGGTTCTGTCACACTTATATACCTGCAGTATTTGTGTTGGCCACAGTCAGAGTCTGATTCCTGATGACAAGTGACGAAGACGCTGATGAGCCGTCTGTCGGCTCAGCGGAGGAACGTAAACAGGAAGTACGCAGGGCACCAGTGATCAGTGACACATCTGTTGTGTCCTCTTCATTAGCAGACTCATCTGGCTCTGGGAAGTCCACATGACTGCTCCCGCCTGTTAGAAGTAATTCAAATTAGATGCTTCCTGAGCCACTAAGCACACACGCACATACACAAACACACACACAGACACACCCACCGACACACAAACACACATTTTGGCCTGTAAGTGCGTCTGTGTGTACTGTCTGTGTGTGTAGATGTGTAACTTATTTTCACTTAGAAAATCAAAAAACATTAAAATATCAATGCTATGTTTTCTGCATCAAAAGGATTACAGAGCTTATATATGGTAGCGCAGCACAGCCCAGCACAGTGCTGGACCTGGAGCTCTAATCTGTTAGGGTAGTGAGCCTCATCATTTAACTGTAGAGTGACAACACAATCATTTGTAGTAAAGGAGCTTCTTTGTCCTGTAGGACCTGAAGAAGATACACACTCAGCTCCACCACAACAGCCTATTCCTTTACAACAAGACCAGTAACAGATGCAGCCTACAATACAACACAATCAAAAAGACAAGCTTTTGAATGAAGAGACTGGTGTCCTTGAAACTGTCTTAGACAAAGCAAAGTGCTTAGCAAAAAACTACTGTCGATAAAGAGGACTATACAAAGCAACAAAAATAGAGGTTGTGCCAATAAAATCCCATAAGCTAAAAGGTTTAAACATTTTGAGCTGTCACTCACTGTCAGTAGGAAGCCAGTAGTGGTATAAAAAGGGAAACATTCAGTATGTACTACTGATACTTAGAGCAAGACTATTCATTGATCTTCGCCAGCTGTTAGTCCTGGGTGATATCTGCTATACAGGCACTGGTGTCAAACAATAATACTGACTTCTAGTTTTAACGGTACTGACAGACAACAAAAACTTACGCTGCACGCCCAAATCGTTTAAAAAAACAGGGATGCACAATGATATTGGAATCATAATAGTATCAGTCGATATTTACTTACAAAAAATACTGACATCAGACAGACGATTAGATTTGACATATGTTGACTGATGTTAGATGTATTTATTGTACTCTGGAAGGGCAGAATGTTTGGGTGAAACTGAGTGACTCTGCTACAATGTCTGCATTTACTGCATTCATAACTCTACAAAATGAATGTTGTATTAAATAATGTATATTACAATACATGTACCCTCTGTAATGCTAATCCAGGCAGATGTATACCTGCTCTGTGGTGGTCCTGAGGTGTCCTGACCATTGAAGAACAGGGTGAATGGGCGCTAACAAAGTATGCAGAGAAACAGATGGACTGGGGCTGATAAACTGGACAATAAGTGTAGATACATTTTAATGAAGTGGTGGGTCGGTGTATTTGGAAAACATCATGACTTTGAATTTTACCCAGCACTTCGTATCTGACCTTAATAAAAATTCTGCCTTATTCTAGCATTGTAGCAGCTTTGTACTTTGGCAGGAGTGCAGATGGGAGTTTCAACACACATCCAATAACTAGGAATGAACTTGGGTGTAAATGAAACAGAGAAAAAAAATCCTTTTCAAATGAACAAATAATTGTACAGCTAATTAGACCATGTCACTGAAGACATATGAAATATATATATATATATATATATATATATAATATATATATATATATATATATATATATAAAAAAGAAAAAATAATCAACTAAATACACTACTTAAACTTTGAACTGGCTCCAGCTGACCAGTGGCCATATTGAAGGGTAACAAACATTATTAACGCTTTCAGTTTTACTCTGGATGTATCACCAAAGCACATACCAGGAAGTAGATCTCGGAAGTCTGTGATGTATTCTCCGCTCCACTCGCGGTGCTTATTGCAGGCCACTTCCATCTCAAAGGGTGTCACCACTGGCCTGTAGAACTCACTTGAGTCCAGCAGCGAGTTCTCTGGACAAGCAACTAACACATACACATCGATCTCCAAGAAATTGGCCAATTTGGCCACATTGATCTTGCCCATTGCAAACATGTAGCTTTTCTTGCCAGCTTTGCTAATACACTCTTTCAGCTGTTCAATGATGGTCAGGTAGTTGGCCACACCCAGTGTACCCACCAGAATGCCCACCACATTGGCATCCTTCGCCCGCTCAATGGCATAGTAGCGTTTCATCAGCGCCTTGTTGATATTAATCGATTCAGTTCGGCCTGTGGACGTTTCAGGGTCAAACGAACAGAAGGCACAGCGGTTCCAGGTCATCATGAAGTTAGTAAGAGTGAGACCCTCACGACCAATGTAGAACATGCTGTAGTCCTCCACGCTCTTGCCTTCTGCTAAACAAAACTGTCTGCCGAATTTATGAACGACCCTGTCGTCCATACAGTCTGAATTAGCATCATCTGCAACAAGTCCATGGATTTGTTCTTGACCACCAAAATGATCAGCTTTTAGAACAGAGAAGACAGTGTTGGGATACGAGGCACTCAAGAGCTTCTTGAAGGCATCTGAAGAGGGAAAAGATATGTTAGATGTTTAAAATGCTCATAGATATATTATACTAAACCTCTTTCAAAGCAAATAAAAATGAAATATAAATGTTTAAAACAGCCTAATATACCCAACAAATTTGTTTGGCAGTGATGATACAAAATGCTTTGCAGTGGTGGGTTTAGGGGAACTGTTCTAGCAGCAGAACATCCTATTAGACAAGTGATTAGACACATCTCCAGCAAGAACTCAACCTGGCCTCAGGCTATACACTGTGCATACTGCCTTAGTGATTCTAGGTCGTATTGCACTCTGGTGTTTTTCAAGCAGGGAGAAATTTGCAAGCTGTGCAATGCGATCATGAATTTTTCTGACCTAACTTCACAGTAATACACAGAAAAAATGAGTAAGTATAAATGTGTCCACAGAAGCGTGTAACTAAAGCACTTCATCTTATTTATTTACAAGCGGCAGCAATTGTAGGCGCATCACTACTAAATTAATTAAGCAGAAAACACTGGAGGGCTTTGTATTACTAAGAAGAACAGGAAGTCTTTTCCAGTAATTTAACACAGACTCTCCTAAAATCCGGCCTGTAAGTAATTGGATACTGACATTTTTTTTAATGTAAAGTGGAGGATGTCAGATTTAATTTGAGGGTAATTTGTGTAGAAGTTTCAACTCTTTTTCTACATATTTTAGGTGATCAAAGGTAACTAGGTGACTGGCTTTTCAGTTTGCCAGATGTGTGTCACTGCATCATTACTTTATAAACAAGAAAGCAGATATACTCAGGCAATACCATAAATGCAGCCTGTAAGTAACTGCACACTGTAGCAGTAAGAAGACTGATATAATCCAATTTGCTTACCTAAGGCATGTGAGTAGGTGATGTCATATAATACGACCACATGACTCTCAGTGTCAGGGTAGAGCTCTCTGAATGCGTCAGCACATTTCTGAACGTCGACAGGTCTCTTCCCAAACACATACATGAGGGGAAGCCTCCTGGATGGACTGAGACATGATTGGCCGTAGTGCACGATGCAGTCAGCCCCTACGTGCTCTGCAGCAACTTCATCCACACAACAGCTGAGAAGTAAAACCAAAAACAGAAAACGCTTATCTGCATGGGTTCTAATAATGTGTGCTCATGCAGTCGATACAAATACTGAACAATGAGAGCAGCTCATACCTGCCATAGGAGGTGTCGCCTAAAACATATGTCTTTACTTTGGTTTCCTTCTCTATCGCTGCAGAGACTGCTACAGCATCTACTAGAAGTTCATCTGGAAACTGCAAAGCTACCTGTGTTGAAACATAGGAGATAATGATGCTTTAGACAAAAAAAGACATCAATATTCAACAAATATTCTCATGTATTAGTTGTTTATTGTATATGTTTCATATGAACTCGCTTTGAGTAGAGATGGCACGACACCACTTTCCCGGTACTGAAACCTTAAATACTGGCCGACACTAATTCGATATTCTAACTGCTAAGCTTCAAAATGAAAGTTTTTTATTTAAGCACTTCAGTTTAGATGATAAACTAAAGGTAATTATCATGCTGAAACTACTCATTCCACTACACCACAGAAAGGAATACAGCTAAAATCATCTTAGAGAACTCACCACAAGATATAGGCTTCTGGTAAACCTGATAGAAACCTGAAAGAGCAGGTTACATTTTGCCAAAAAGTGATATATACTAAACCAAAAATACAACACATTGTTTTTAACTGAAAAGAATTTACTGATGCCCTGCAAAAAAAACAGGGTGGGTCATGAAACTTAATTCTACATTAATATGTCTTTTCAAAATAAGCAACATTGAGCATACATTTCACTTATTGACGTCTCAGGACATCCTGCAGTTCTCGATTCCAAAGGATTTGAAACTAAACCTGAAACCTCATTTGTTGATCTGTCCAACAACAATCCTGAAATTGGCCAGTCTACATATTAAAGAACTGCAATATCTATATGGGTCATCTAGTAGAGAAGAAAATTAAAGTCATTGAATTGATTGCAGTTTAACTTCAGAGTCTTTGTTTCATTTTAATGCAATGTGCTGTAGTGCACAGCCGCAAAAACTGCCATTTTCCAATTACTTACAGGCTGCACTGTATGTCATTTTTTGCACATATTAGTGATGTGTTACATTTTTAACACAAATTTGTTTTGGACAAATAAGCCGCCTTTCCCATTATACAGGATGAGCTCATCCTACATGACTATCTTGAGCAAAGGCTGTACAAACTGAAGAAGACTTTCCATCACTGTTAAAACTGTAAGCAGGTGTGAGAAGAAGGAGTGCCACACATTCAGTGTTTCAATAACATTCACATGCATCCATCTGTATGCTGATAACTGTACGTCTTTAAAATGAGACTGATGTGGCATTTGGCACTCTGTTAGGGACATTCAGCTCCACTGACTGCCGCAGTAAAGAGCAGAGGAAATAATAAGCCACATCAGGTCTCTCACAGATACACTCATTCACTCCATGCAAATGTGTATACAATGCCTAAAAGTATCCAGACATGCCTTCTAATTAGTCAACTCAGTAACTTTAAGGTGCACCCACAGCTGACACAGGAAACAGTGCACAACCAGCTTGTATAGAAACACAGCTTCATAGAAAAGCACTGCTAATACACTGAGAAGCTCAGGAGCAGCCTTATATGAGAACTAGGGCCACCAAGATCAATCCCAAGCTTTGGTTAGAGGGTACAAAAGCACAAAAAACTCCAGCACTGGGCTGTGGAGCATTGGAACTAAGATGGATGACTTTTGTGATCAAGATCTAATCATATAACATCAGTATCTGACCCCACTAATGCTCTTGTGGCTGAATGCAATCAAATGTATGATGTAAACAAAGTTATTCTGAGTGGTTTGATGTGAAATGCGCTGTTCTGGAGAAACTTCCTAAGTCAGAAATGTTCACAGTGGTGGTGATAGGAACCAGATGTCTAAAGAGTTTTATGCCTCTCCAATTTACCATATAAAGTTACTACTAAAATGGTGTATGTATAGGCTGCCTGATGCCTGAGACATAGTTTTAGTTTTGGGATAAGGTCTAAAATGTATTTTTAAAAAGTCACTGAGGGTGGAGAGGAGCACAGTCTCCAAAGAAAACATATGTTGGATTTCTCAATATTTTTCATTGTCAACATTACATATAATAACCGTGTGAACGTAGGTTCACTGGTGACTTTGGACAGTAAATAAAATGTCTATATTTGCATTGTAGACATTGCGACCCCTGCTTTCCATCAACACAACTGCAAAGAAATCTCAGCTGGTCTGTTTTTATACAAGGCTCCATTTAAACCACTCTGAATGACTCCGACTTTGTTTACATGTCAATTACCGAATAAAGCAGAACTTCCCTGTAATGGAGACATAGTGTGTGAAAAGGAACTTTTACCTTCTTGAAATCTTTACTCTGAATGAAACGGCAGGTGTCGCTGATCTGATACAGCTCCTCTAGATCTCCAGCTTGGCTGCCTGATTCAGCGGCAGTCACATCCACAGTGCGCTGCAGGACGGCCTCACTGCTACTGCTGAACGCCTCAGTCATGTTCTGTAAAGGAATAGGAACACATTCAGGGCCTAGAGAGAAAAAAGGAAAAAGGACAAAATAAAGTGTCAGTATTAAGAATTTAACTGCTGTAGCTTTGAGTCAGAACCATTTAAACCATCATAACATGACCTAGACATGATTATATCTGTTCTTTTTTAATTCTGCTACTGTTCTTCAGCCAAAAAGCCTTCATAGAATACAAAACACATGTCTGCATGCAAGAATACATTCAGTCTTCAACACTAAATGTAATTCTCTGAACTTGAATGTGATTTAAATGAAACACTGTTTTGATTTATGTTTATTGGTTTATTTGTAGAGAAACTTACCGATTCAGATTTCTTCACAGTGCCACTTATAGGAACCAGGAGTCAAGATGTCTACAATGCAAATATAGCCATTTTACTTATTATCCAAAACCACTAACCCTACACGTCTTCTGAGTTTTTAAATGTATTGTTGGTGGTAAAATAACGGTCAATCTGGGAAAAAAAAATGGTTTTTGGACACTATTTTGCTTCATATCACCTGTCTTGTATCCTCCCACCATAAACGGACTAAAAATAAACGGATTAAATTACAGTTTACACTAAAAACTTTATCACAATACTACTGTAAAACAACGTCTCAGACATCAGGTAGTGTATTCATATCCGTTGTATGCAATAACTTTGTTAGGAAGCATTAGAGAGCTTATTCTCCACAGACGTCTGGTTTCCACCACCACCGTGAACGATTCTGACTTGGTCGGTGTCTATAAAACGAAGAATTTCAGAACAAACCACTCAGAACGATTCTGTTGACGTGATCACCATTTAATTAGGCATACATTTAAAAAAAATCAGTGGAGTTCCCCTTTTATTAAAGGGAAAGAGACAACTCCAACCACAGACTGTCTATTTATGGGTCATTTTGAACAGTGTTCATAGATATAAAGCCACATATTGCCACCAACGTAACCATCAATAAGCCCTGCATGTAACTTAGGTTAGTGGACTGACGTTACAGCACTGTGAGGTGATGATGCATCGCTATTAACGAGCCACAGACAGAGACCACAGACACAAAGGGGCAAAACGATGTGCCAAATAAAAACAATCGACGGACGCAGACTGTAGTTTACAAAGTGTAATAGTTTCGTTTACGTACTAAAATAAAAACGTGCAGTCCTCTCAAACAGACTTCTCCCACGTGAGACACAGCGGCTCTTCCTCAGTTCATTCTTCTTCTTCAGCAAACTCAGCTCTTACTGCACCACACAGCAGCAGTGCTGCCCTCTAGTGTGAGTCAGACTCAGACTGAGGAGAGCGAGCGCGGAGAGAAGCTGCAGCTTTAATGTTGGAGTAAGTGGACTGTCTGATATCGAGGACAGTAGCACCCTCACTGGCAGCTTTGACTTTTTTGAGAATGTAAATTTTGAGAGCTTCCTCCTTCTTCTAGACTAGGTGTTAATGCGTCCAGCACACATCTGTTAACTGTACTCTGTAGTGAAACGATACTTGGTGAAGCAACGCTGGCGACACCTGCTGGCCAAACACGTGTAAATGCACCGTGAAACCCATCACGAAACCTAGAACCCAACAATTAGGAAATTCTTTGTATATATTTTCGTGGGAAGTGTGTAACATATCTGAATATGTCTACAATGTATAGACCTTCACATATGCGTCGCTAGGCCAGTTTTAGGTTGGGGGCGTGGAGGAGGAGGAGGAGGTTCAGCACAGCAGAGGCAGCGCCAGAGACCAGAGACTGACCACCACAACGTGAAAAGTGGAACCTCCGGCTCGGCCAATCATATCAGAGCTCGTAAGTTGTAAGCCAATCATACCAGAGCTCTTGAATTGTAAGCCAATCATGTCAGAGCACAGAATGCAGTGAACACATGAGGAGAAGTCATAAATCACCTGGAGCAGCTAGAAGCACAATCAGCCAGCAAGCCAATGACCATCGTTTTAATATTCATGTTCACAGTCTTTTACTGAACTACAGTTTCTGCAAACTGGCACTTGATCAAAGCTGAATTTTCTCTCTGAATACAAAACAGAATAAGAGAGCTGCTTTGCTTAGAAAACGAAAATGTATTTGTGTTCATTCAGACATCATCAGAAACGAATAAAAATACAGCTTTTATTGCAATGAGTAATACTGGCTTGTTAAATATAAAACAGAACACAAGCATCATTTCATTAAGACAGATTATAAGCATTATAAGCAACTTAACCTGGATTAAAAAAGTAAACCCAACAAATGCAATACATTAAAGTTTATGACAACTTTACACTTTGTAAACCACCACTAGTTAACAAATATTTTAAGTTTGGTTACACATAAAGATAAGATAATAGAAAAAAACCCACAAAACTAAACAGTCTCACAATTCATCAAAAATGAAAATACATGACAATTCATCAAACAGAAAAATACAATCAGACAAAAATACTGATGTTCCTTCCCACACAAACCATACTGTATTACAACCAAACCTATTACTCTCCAGCAGATGAGTAAAGTAACCTAAAGCCATACTACTGGTTAAACATTTACAAGCAAAATGTAACTGAGTAAACAGTGTAGCTTGCTTTCTTTACAAATATATGTGTGTAGAAGTAAAAAGCTATTATCATTTGAAAATACTCAGAAAAGTACAAATATATTAATTAAGCACAACTGAATAAATGGAACCAGTTACTGCTCACCTCTGCTGACCAGAGAGTGTTTAATCCTGTTTGACCCAAAACTCTAATGAAATGTATGCCAGTGAGGCTCTTGTATAAGAATGATTGACATGGCTGAAAAGTTAACCTGGTTAAAAAAAAGTAGAGCTCAACAAACGCAATACAATGAATTATTTTCAACATCAAAATGGTTTAGTTACAAATCAGTAAATAAGACTTTTTCATTTCAACAATATAGAATAATTGCAGAATTCCTTTAAAGACAAATCCAACAGATAAATATGTTTAAATTGTGTCCTCTTCTTTCTGTATTCCTTAAAATCTCAAATGAACAGTTACTGCAAATGATTACTTCTGAGAACTGCAACAACACCAGCTTTCTTCAAGGACCTGTAAGAGAAAATCCTCACGCTTATGTTTGTATATACAGTGATCAGCCATAACATTAAAACCATCTCCTTGTTTCTATGCTCATTGTCCATTTTATCAGCTTCACTTACTATATAGGTGCACTTTGTAGTTCTACAATTACAGACTGTAGTCCATCTGTTTCTCTTTGTTAGCCCCCTTTTACCCTGTTCTTCAGTGGTCAGGACCCCTATGAACCCTCACAGAGCAGGTACTATTTGGGTGGTGGATCATTCTCAGCACTGCAGTAACACTGACATGGTGGTGTGTTAGCTGCTGGAGTTTTTAAACACCTCAGTGTCACTGCTGGATTGAGAATAGTCCACCAACCAAAAACATCCAGCCAACAGGGCAGCGTTCTGTGACCACTGATGAAGGACTAGAGGATGACCAACACAAACTGTGCAGCAGCAGATAAGCTATCATCTCTGTCTTTGCGTCTATTAGGTGGAGCAACAAGGTAGGAGTGTCTAATAGAGCGTTCTGCAAGGGAGTGGGTGAAAATTTCTGAAACATGAATAAAAAGACCCCTAGCCATCTACAAGCTGGTTGTTCTTTTGCACTTTTGCACATGCCACAATTACTAATTTTTTTCTATTTTTAAGTTAATCAAATAGAAGTTAACTGGGCATTAACATTTGCAGAATCAACAAAAGATGTAATTGGGCCAGAAGTGCCTAAGCTTTTGCATACAACTGTATCATAACCCTAATTTATTTAAAATGCCTTTAAAACTCTAAAGGCTATTTTTGGTGAATCTTATGAAACTGACCTTTGTCTGTATTCTGCTTCAGTTCTGAGTAGACAGTATCTGCATCTGCGGTGGTCTTCCCTAACACAGGACAAGAGACACTCATCAATGCAAGGTTTTATCCTTGTATATTGGATTTTTTTTTGGGCAAGACTTTTGATCTTGCAAATCACTTACATATTCAGAAATTTTCTTTTGATCTCACCTTTAAGCAAACAGTCCCTGTCTTGCTTTTTCTTTTCCTTCTTCTTGGCTTTCAGTTCAATTTCAGCATAAGTCACATCGCTGGGTTCAACTGGATCATCTAAGAGAGAACAGAGTCTGATTTCATTCCCCACTGTAATTCTACTATTCTTTAAAAAAACTTCTAAAAACATAGACCTGAACTGATCACATGCTACACTGTTCAAACAAAGACAGCAGTAGCCAGCCAATCACAGTCCTGCAGACTAAAAAAATAAATATCATAAAAATGCAGATTTCTCTAGTGCCTTCAGTACCATCCTGCCTCTGTGACTGGAAACAAATCTAGTGCAAACCAGGCTGCTCCAGAACTGTGTATCAGAGATGGAGGTGAGCAGCACTGGAGCACCATGGGAAACTGGTGCTCTTCTGACCTCTTCACCATCTACACATCAAACCTCTAATACAACACTAAGCTCATGCAGAAGTTCCCTGATGACTCTTCCACTGTATTCACAATTGAGATGAGTCAGAGGACAGAAGGCTGGGATGGATTACTGACTGGGCCACTGGAGCCAGTGCCCAGGGAGCCTCAGACGAGAAGGCTTGAGGTAGGATAAGCCACTGCAGATGTAAACATTAGATGAATAATTCAAATGGGATGTTAGGGTAACCTTTATGGGGTTTGTCTGGTCATAGCAGACAAGTGGATGTTCTTCCACATGAGGACAGATATTTCCCAAGAATCCCACAGTGAAGACAGGACAGCTGGCATATGAACAAACACTAAACAAAAAGGAATGACTAAGTAAAACATACATAAAGTAAACAGGCTCTTGGTAGCTTTCAAAATTATTTCTCCAAACACATCTGAGCTGTGACCCCAACAACCCATTCACTAAAATACATGTAATACAGTATAGTACGCTGTTTTTTTACAGACCATTTTTTTTTACAGCTAGCCTTTCTAAGACATTACTGCATGTCCTTTTTCTCTTTTCACAGGTGCCTTTGTCCCATGAGTTGCTGAAAGCAATGTTACAATTGATGTAAGCAGCTGTGTAGTCCTCCATTCCTTGCAAGACATTGTCTGTCAGGTATTTAAATGTGTCTGCAGCTCCACGGAATCCGAAGGGCATCACCAAGACCGCTGGATGCCCAGAATGCTATGAGCTTCCTTGTCGATGCTGGTAGGGACACTTGTCAGTACCCTTTGAACAATGTATTAAAGTACATAATTCTGCCCAGTCGCTTGACCAGCTCATCCACCCCTGTCATTGGGTAGGGGTCAAACGCCAAAACTGCACTCAGCTTCAAGAAACTGATGCAGAATGTCTGTCCACTGTCTCTTTTGGGAACTAAAATGACTAGACTTCATCATTTACTACTTAAAGTCTCAAAAATGCCAAACTCTAGCACAATCTCTGTCTCTTTCTTCAAGTCAGGAATAAGGCATGCTGAAAGTCTGCAGTGAATGCCAGATGGGTTCTGTTGAAAGCAGCTTGATGTCATGCTGCATTACTTGGTTTTTCCGGGCTCTTTACCAAGAGGTCTCTTTGGGATCCTTTCTTGCAAGTCTTGCTGTTGGGTCTGAGAGGTGTATAAGGTCTGGGATCCTCTTCATCCTCAACCCATAGCTGTTCAGCTCTATTCTCTGGTCTGTCCACCTATGGTCTCAGCAAGTTGATGCAGAAGACTTGAGTTTTTTAAACTTGTCAGGTACAAAGAGTTTGTGGGTGACTAAGCCCATCTTCTGCTGTACCTCATATATGCCTTGCCATTTTGCTAGCAGTTGGTAGGAGGATGAGCACCTTTTAACCAGGTTTCTTTTCCCTTATGGCCTGTCATAAATGTGGCTCTCTCTCTCCTTTCCTAGTTGGTGAGGTGAACTGACACTCTGGTCATGACTTGCAATATTCTGCTATGTCCAGGTATTGCCTTGGCCATTAGAATCTGCTGGCTACCCCCGGCTACTGTGTTCTGCAGCCCTAAATGCTTCACCCAGGGGACAGACTGGCCAAGCTTAAAAACCATAGGCTTCAAACAGGAACCACTAACTCTTTCCCAGTACTGCTATGTCTGTACATTCTTCTCTCAATCATGAAAAAGTGTTCTTTGTCTATGGCCTTGCTGACCCCCTTTTCTGAGCTGACTTTCTCAGTTAAGGGCCTGAATATCCCATCACCTTTCTGCAACTCCACTACATTGCTAAGAATGGGGCTGAAATCTGTAATAGTGAGGTGTTGGAGCTGTTCTGTTACTGTGGTACCTATTATTTTGTCAAGTCCCTTGGTTCAAGTCTTTAGGTTTCTTGGCTTTGTCCATGTTTGCAACCATAATGATGTCTCCAAGAGGTTGCTTTTGCAGTCCTACTGTTTAGCTTGTAGCCTTGTTACTATTACTTTTCTGAAAAAAAGTCTACCATTATTGGTAGAATGCTTTAATATGGCTCAGTCTATGTTGTATGAAAAATCATCTACAAATGGACAATATTTCAGCCCACTGGCAGTCTGTTCAGGCCAAGGTGTCCCACCAAATTCAGCCTAAAGGCTGGCTGAAAGACTGAAGGAAGAAGAAAAATGCCAAGGGATTTACAAGGAAGTATTGATTCAGTCAGCACCAAAATGCATAAGTCCACCATCTGAAAGAGATACACATTTACCCTACATGCAAATCAGGAAGGAAAAACCTGCTGATCTCAAAAAATATAGATAGGCACCTGAAATATGATCACACATGTAGTAAAGATCACACATATGATTTGTTTGGATGAGACAAAGGTGGAGCTGTTTGCCCTCAATGCTGAACATAATGTCTGGTGAATACCAAAAAAACACTTTTGACAAAAGGAACATCTTTTAACTAAAAAAAAGCAAGGTGGAAGAAACATTATGGTTTCCACCCCAATTTCTGACCAGTTTGCCATCATCTGTCAAAAAGCTAAAGCTGAACTGGAAGTGGCCCTTGCAACAAGACAACAGCAACACTTTTTGCACAGCCACAAAAGAATTGCTCAGAAACAAAAGATAATTATGGAATGGTCATATCAAGTCTGTGAAAACTTGAATTTCATAGAAATGCTGGGGGTGGACTCAAACTGAGTAGTAAATAAAAAAAAAGGCTGTAAACATCACACACTTGGGTTCTGTAGGGAGAAATGAGAAAATATTTCTCAAAGTTGATGTAGGACACAATTAAAAAAAGATTTCTGCCAAATAGGGCAGAGATTTCAGCCTCAGCCATGAATTCTCCTAGACAAACACTAACAGTGGAAGGGGTTGTACTGCAGAGCTCTGTGACTTTCAGTGTGACACTGTTATAGGATGCCACCTTTCCAACAAGTCCATAAAACTTCTGTCCTGCTAGATTTGTCAACCATGAATGTTATTATCGTGAAGTGGAAACATCTAGGAGCAACAGTAGTGCAATAAGTGCATAAAAAGTTCAGAAAAGGTCAAGTGCATAAAAATGGTCTGTTCTTGGTTGTACTTCAGCAGTGGAGCAGTGTAAAGCACATTGCCACTGGACACTATAGAAATGGAAAGGTTTTCTCTGGGCTGTTGAATCTGGGTTTGGTAGACACCAGGAGAATGCTACCTGCACAAAGTGCCAACTGTAAAGTTTGGTGGAGGAGGAATAATGGTCTGGGTCATGTGATTTTGGGCCCCTTAGTTCCAGTGAAGGAAATTTTAATGCTGCATGACGCTTTGACATTCAAGAAAACGTGCTTCTGCACATGTGGTAGTGGTTTGGGAAGGGCCTTTCCTGTTTCAGCAAGACAATTATGAGTTCCATAAAGAACAGGTTTGCCAGGTTTAATGCGAAGGATTTGACTGTTCATATACTTTTGACCACATAATGTACTTTTTCCACAGCAGACAACTGCAGTTCTGACTTTTACGTGACTTATGTTTTGTCTGTAATTTCTTTATATTTATTCTTATTTTTTTAGACTCACAATGTTATGCTTTACTGGGATTGACACTTCTTTGGTCCTCATGTTGAGAGACAACAGCAAGAGACTGCTGCAAAATAAATAAACTGAAAAAAACCCCACCAAATTTTCAACTAAAAACACCTTAATGAACTGTCGTGGTCTTAGGCACCTACTTAATGTCACTAATAGCAATCCCCCTTGCATGTGAGGTATATATATGCTATAAGATATATGTAAAAATGAAAACTGTTATAATTTTTCTTCCTTTTACATTATTTCTTAAACCACTGCTCCCCTTGTTTTTTTTTTGTTTTGTTTTGTTTTTTTTGCTAAGCCTGTGAGTAAAGTGCATCACTTGGCCGCAGCATAGCATCATCATCATCATTATCATCATCATCATCATTATAATCATCATCAAACAAACAAACAAACAAATAAATGCCTGATACATAAGTTCTTACATTAGTTTTCACTGAGTGGTTTGCCCTGTGGGTAAGTGTAATGTGTTACCATAATGAGTGTTATGTGTTTTTTTTAAATAACGTATAGTAGGTCATACTTACCTTTACTGTTACATTTCAAGCTTTTCACCTTAATTTGGGAATATATCACTTCACTTGTCTTTGTCACTGCATTATCTAATAAAGAAATCAAATTAGTTCAACACGAAAACTAATTTAACAGAAAACAGATTCTGTTATTGCAGAGATGCAGTTTTTACCATTTCCTCTGAGTTTCTTTTTAGTAGTCACAACCTGTGCATAGGTTATATCACTGAACTGGTCTGTAGAATAATCTAAAACAAAAGAAGCCACTTATTAGAGAAGTCACTGTGTTCTTATGTTTACAAAGATAGTCTGTTGAAAAAAAGAGAACAACTATATCTGTGTTCCTGTTACAAACCATATCAACATTGCCAAATGATCAATGGCTACTAAAGAGCAAATAGCATTTTTTGTGAAAGGAGTTAACTAGTGCAAAAACTTAATGCTGGTTTGGTAGTTTAAACTGACCAGCCTGCAGTAGAGTTGATGCTGAGAGAGAGCTCTCAGGTCCAGACAGGCTCTGGCTCTGATCGGTGTTCTGCTGATTTCCAGCAGGTGGAGTTAAAGATCCTGCACAGTAATCCAGTTCTAAAAGTCAAAAATATATCTTACATACTTTTTTCAACTGCATGTATTTGTTAGAAAAGCTATTTAAAAATAACTACAAATTACAAATATAAATTACTTTTGTCTAAAATCTTCTTGTAACACCAAAACAGGCTCAGTATGATAATGAGCAAAAAGGTTAAACTCAGTCCCACCACTACTCCTGTTATGTGACTAGATCCAAAACCTGAGACTGAGGAAAGAAAGAAGCAATATATTGTATTTAAACATTTTGTTTACTGTACTGTTTAAAATAAATTATTATATTATTACATAATGAAACACAAAATTATCATGTATTCTCACTTCTGACTGAGATCCAGCTCTTTGATGACTCTCCTTTCTCTGAGTGTGTACAGTAATAGAGGCCTTCATCTGACTTTGAGACAGAACTGATGGTCATCTCTCCTGTAGTCTGGGTCTGAAGGAATAATCCATCTTTATAGAAATCAGCTGTGAGGTTTGAGGGCTTTGAGCGATATAAACAGCAGAGAGTCAGAGAATCTCCATCAGTCACAGGATGAACAGGGCTCTCCAGGATCACATCACCATCTGTAGGAAAGAGTGACAGAGTATAGTGTGGAGAGTACAGTAATGATATCAACACAAGCACTGATCTGTCTGATATGTAGCAATTATTTTGCACCAGAGGCACAGAACTGAACACAGGCTAAAAGAATATTTACCAACAGAATTCTGTATTGTTGAGCCAAGACATTAAAATGTGCTCTTTGTTAAATAATCTTTGATTGAAATAATTATTGTAAAAATAATAATTATTAGTATTAGTGTTGTTGATGTTCATTGAGACTATTGTAGATGCATTTCAGATGTATTTTATCTTTTTTTTTTATAAAAGCAATAAGCCACTCCAGGCCATATATTACACTAAATTACAGATATGAAATAACAGACTACCTTATTGTCAATTTATTGTCATAACAGAGATGAGGAATTAGGAATTATAAAGGCAATATAAACACGCTGTCCTTGATTTTTCACACGTGAACATCAGGGTTGGAAGGGTTAAATTATGTATTCTGAAACAGATCACTGATTACCTGTTAAAAACGTAACTATAATCTAATAAAAAGCATTACAATAATAAAGTAATGTAATCTGATAACTTTTTGGTGTTTTTGGATTGCTTGTCTCATTAGTCATATAAAAGTCAGATAAAATAAAGAGTTCAAACAAATTTCAACAAGACATCTTTAAACAACGCAAACAGGAAAACTGCACTGTTTTATGAAACAAAAAGACATATAAAAGGCGAAATATGATTGACAAAACTACGTGTAACCAGGTGTAATGTCTCTTTAGGAAGACCAATTGGTTAGTATGCACTTTACTTTACACTATAATATTGATGCAACTAAGAGTTAGTTATGTCTATAATACATGCTGTTAGTTTACCTCTTACCACTCAGTGCCTGCGGTCTTGTAAATACAGCGAATCTGTCTCATATGCCATGTAAATATGTAAATAGATATACTTTTATTTCTCTTGTACTTTATCTATCTATCTATCTATCTATCTGTCTATCTATCTATCTATCTATCTATCTATCTATCTATCTATCTATCTATCTACCTACCTACCTACCTACCTACCTAGTACAGACAGCTAGGAGTGCTGTCTCTTTAAGAACAGGCCCACTAATCAGTACATAAAACAGCTGCTTAAAATAGCCTTAAGTAGTCTGCATTTATGCCTGTTAGAATGACTTCTTTGGGGTTAAGCTGGTTTTCTCATTGTTGATGTGGCGAGTTCATCTGTTCAAGGTATGCTGCTGGTCCTGTTTTTCCTAGATTTTTACTTTACATGCAGAGTGGCTTTCATGTTTGAGTTTTTAAGTGTGGACACAGATGTGTGTCAGGCAATTAATGGCTGATCAATCCTCTGTGCCCTGATAGGTGTACTCCTGAGTTCATGCTATGATTGGAAAGGTATGTTTAGAGCATCCATGTGTTTTTTTATTGTTATATGATTTTGATAAATTGCTATGTGGTATTTATGTTCCCTGTTGTCACTGAGTGTTATCTGCAGCATCCTCCCTTGTAGAGGGTTAAAGATATTTTTTTATTTTTTTAGTTTTAAAGGGAACAACTGTTTAGCTGCTGTTTTTGCCCTTTTTGGTACTTTGTTTACATTCTATTTATTTATTTATTGTGAATACATACATACATACATACATACATCATCTAAACCGCTTATCCTTCTGGGTCGCGGTGGGGTGCTGGAGCCTATCCCAGCTGTCATTGGGCGGAAGGCAGGATACACCCTGGACAGGTCGCCAGTCCATCGCAGGGCAGACAGACAGACATACATACATACATACATATACAATCACACACACATTCACACCTAGGGGCAATTCAGCATGTCCAATCAGCCTGACTGCATGTCTTTGGACTGTGGGAGGAAACCGGAGTACCCGGAGGAAACCCACGCAGACACGGGGAGAACATGCAAACTCCACACAGAAATGACCCTGGTCGCCCGGCCGGGAATCGAACCCAGGCCCTGCTTGCTGTGAGGCGACAGCGCTACCCACTGCGCCACCGTGCCGCCCTATTGTGAATATTGTATTTAAATATTGGTTAGTGACTGAGTCACTTAGGGGAGCTCCATTGTACGTTCAGCCCCAAACCAACTGTTACTAACTCTCCCTTGTCCTTTTTAAACCTAGGTCCTAACTAGTGATTGGTGGTTGATGTGCATGAAGTCTTATACCCCCCTTTTTGCAGTTAGCCCACCATCTTTTTGGTTTGGTGACCAGAGTTTTTAAGATGTTAATTTATGTGTGATGGCTTCCTACTGAGCTTGCTTTTAATTAAGTAATAAAGCTTGTTGCCAGGTTTAGCTGGCACATCTCCATATTGTATATTTAATATTCTAACATGGTAAGCTAAGTGTAATAAAACTGGCTGGATTTTATACCTGGAACCCATGTCTCTGTCTTTTTCTTCCTGTACAATAAAGAACTCGTGTGTCACTGAAATAAGTAATTCTGCGGGTGAAATTCCCACAGTGGCTTACTTGGGGTTTACTCTTCTTAGGCATTGTAACTTGGTCCTAGTGACTCCTTTTAATGGTCACTCGGCTACATATGACAGTGGCATAGCCAGAATTTTCCCAGAGACATCGCTATAGTGAGGTTAACAAATCACCAACTAGCCAGCTAACTTCATTGTAGCTTTCACAGAGAGAAATTTTGAAACACACTGCTGACCTGTCCTAGTTAACTTACTATAGCAACTGACAGCAGAACACAGTGGGTATTGGTTAATTAACCAGAATCCTACCTTCTACAGCACTAACAGCAGATGTCTTGGGCAAATAGTTGAAGACTTTAATTTTCTCATTTCTGTGATAAACTTAGTCTTCTAATGTAAAAGTTGTATTTTCTGGGACACGACTCTCCAGTCAGCTTGGATGACAACAGACATGTTCATGTCACCTGTGACAGTTCACATGTCGAACACGTCGAACAGAATAAATCCAGTTAAAATGTAGTTTTTTTAGCATCTGAAAAATTGCATCTGGTCTTTTTTTACAGTAACTGTAATGGAATACAGTCACCTTTTTCTTGTTTCCTTATGTAACGTTGTTACATGTATTCCATTACTACCCAATCTTGATGAACACTCACCACCAGAATATCCGACGTGTGCATGAGAAGACAGAAAACACATTTGTAGTAAAATTGTCTGTTTTATATTTACTGCTAAAATACAGTGAAATCTAGAATTTTTTTCTATGCATCAAAGTAATGGAAGGAGGCGATATCCTGCCATTAGGAAAATATCCCAGTGCTCTGCCACCAGTGCACGTTTGGCTCTTAAAGTGAATGACAGGAGGTCATTTGATTGGATATCACTGGAACAAGCCTAACCATGTCTGTATTCAGTCAAACTCTGCCCCTGTTTACACCTGCACTGGTCTGCTATGGGTTAGCACTTGCACCACTGATCTCAAAAATACCAACTGTATATTTGCCACACTCAGACACACCAGCACTGTGGATCAGCACTTGCTTAATGATCATGAAAATATGGCCTTCTGACATCTTTGACATTTGTTGCAATGTTTCCAGTGTAACGATACTGTATCTTACGCATCATGAGCAATTTTGATTTATCTTATAAATAAATTAAGCTGATCTTTAGTCCTGTACCAGACTCCTATGAGTAATAAAACTAATATAGACTCACTGTGCACTGTGATGTTGACAGGAGAACTTCTCCCTCCAGAGTCAGACTGACACCAGTAAACTCCAGTGTGGGATGTGGAGATGGAGCTGATGTTGCATGTAGATCCTGTAACTGATCTTCTGTCTGATAAACAATCTGACATTTTCCCACTGTTTGTGTATCGTCTCACTCTCCATCCAGTAGACTCACTCTGTCCCTCACAGCTCAGAGAGAGACGGTCAGTAGTGAAGTGTTGAGTTCTGCTGGGACTGATGATCAGAGAGACAGGAGGAGACGTTCCTGAAAAATGGAGAGAAGACATGAACTGCAGCATATTTCTAAATACTAACATAACTAATACTGAACAAATGAACAGTTTACTCCTAGAACAGGACACATCTGCTTTATTAGTACATCTTGTAGGTGCTCAACTTCCATACACAATTTAGTGTTAGTCAGATGGTGGACAAATTGTGTATATAAGTTGGGCTACAATAATACAGTAATTACATACTTGCAAAATGCACCTATTATTAAGCAATAACATACAAGCGACCTACACATCTCTGCTACAAATGAAAACTAACTTTGTTCTCAGCACCATCTGTTTACAAACAATTCAGCTGAAAATGGGGCGCGCAAACACCTGACCCCATAGGCAGGGTGTAACTGTAACAGACTGAGGGGCTAGTTGTAGCAGTTACTAAAATGTCTGATGAACTTCTCCAAATGAAATTTAATTTGACATAGTTCTACATTATTTGAACCAGCCGAAGTTTCTAAACTAATGTATATAAAGATATATTCATCAGACTAAATATAATTAGTGAAAAGAGAGTGGTCAGACATGGCCACAATTTATTTTTGACCACAAATTAGAAAAGTAAATATCAGCACGATGATATTTTAAAAAATATATATTACATTATATAATATATATTATATAATATAAATTATGTGACTTATACACACAACTCAGTAATCAAAAAATACATAAGACGAAAACAATACTTTTATGGTACAAAAACGGTCATCAGGGTGAATCCTAAGAAATATCTGTCCAGTTGCGGTCAAGACTTACAGATGACGTTGCAATGATAATATGAGAAAATGACTAAAAGTATGTTCTACTTGAACCTGTGAAACTGCATAAAATATCCAAGCCCATGTTACTTTGTTCCTGGCTTTCCCTACATCTGATTAAATGACAACAATAAATTCACCAGTTCTGGGTCTCCTCACCAGTGATCCACAGTGGCTGTGTGTTGCTGTTCTCAGTGTGAAAGGCTGGTTCTCCTCTCTTTGCTCTGCACTTATAAACTCCAGAGTGATTCAGAGCAGCAGGACTGAGAGTGAAGGAGCCTCTGGCTTCTCTTCTGCTGTCTGAGAGGAGCTCCTCATCATCTCTGTACCAGCTGAACGTCCAGCCTGTAGAGGAGTCTCTAACCTCACAGTGTAGAGTCACTGAGTCTCCTTCAGTCAGCCAGCTCTGCAGAGACGCACTCAGTACTGCCTGGGCTGCACCTGACAGAGAGCAAATGCAGAATAGAAATAAATCTCATACAGAATAATAAGATTATTACAGAAAATGAATAAGAACAAAACCAAACACTCACCAGACACAGTGAGTGTAACAGCATCACTGATCTCTGAGCTCTGAGAGTCACGTTTCCTTTCTCCTCTGCAGGTGTATTTATCACTGTAATACTCTGTAACTGAGCTGATACTGATCTCCTGTGTGGTTCTGTTTGTGCTGAATGGTTGATTATTCTTAAACCAGCTGAATTTCCACTCAGTGTCTCCTCCTGACTGTATGTCACATCTCAGAGTGACAGTCTCTCCTTTAAACACGAGTTCATCAGGTTTTATGGACACCACAGCTTTAGGACTGCCTATAACAAAATTATCTGCTGTTAGTAAACTAATAAACTAGAGGGAAACAGAGTCATTTAAACATTTACTAATGACTTGTAAAGGACTGATGTAAAGTTACAGTGGAAACAGTGCAGCAATCTACTGTATACCTTAAATAAAACAGTTTGCTATAAAAAAGTACATTCTGGGAAATGCAGGTCTACATGTTGTACTAGGTGATAAACAGTCCTATGTTGTGAAAAATAGTGCATTCTGCATGTATTACAACAGCATTGCTCCGTATTAAAAGAGTCCAGGTACTAAACTGAGCTGCCTGCAGTCCAGACATGTCACCACTGAAAATATTTGGTATATTATCAAATGAAAAATACGACAAAGGAGACCTCAAACTGTTGAGCAGCTGAAATCATATATCAACAGGAAAGGGAAAACATTTCACTTTCAGAACTACAGCAGTTTGTCTTCTCAGTTCCCAAACACTTACAGAGTGTTGTTAAAAGAAGAGGTGATGAAACACAGTGGTAAACATGGCACCGTCCCAACTTTTTTGAGATGCATTGCTGCCAACAAGTTCTAAATCAGTTAATGTTTTTCATGAAATGGTAAAATTCCTCTCTTTCAACATCTGATATGTGTTCTATGTTCTATTGTGAATAAACTATGGGTCTATGAGATTTGCAAATCATTTCTTTCTGTTTTTATTTACATTTGCTGACATTTTACACAGCATCCCAACTTTTTGGAATTGGGGTGGTACATTTTTCCCCAAATCAGTATCTGAATCAAAGTAGATCAGAGTGTATAACCAGGGGTTAAGCAGAGCCAGAGTGCCCTGAATCAGAGCTTGTGTGAACACAAACAGTGGTCCTGTTTCATGTAAATGCTTTTTTGCTAAATTGAACAGGCTGGCATAACTACAATGCCTACTGTTGCTAAAAGAACTAGGCACATCTCAGCCTCAAGACTTTGGGCAGAGGTGGGAAAGGGGCAGACTTTTTAGGGGCCCGGCCATGTCGTTGTGTGGGCCTGCCTGTCACTGACCCACCAAATGTGAGCACGTGTTAGGAGTGTTCCTTAAATAAAACACTAATAATAAAAGGTATCATTGCTTAAGAAATTCATTCGTGTACATCTGTGGTTGGGGTGGAGCAGGCTTTCCCAAATGCAGGGAGACATTCACCCATAAGAAAAAAGCAATCTCCAGAAAAGCGATCTCCTAAATATCTCTGTGGTGTCTCTTAGACAACAGTGAGATAAGATAAGACAGAAAGACAAAGGAGAGTCCTGCTGTTCAGGTATTTCTCCTGAACAGAGGCCTCAGTAATCTCACATCTGTCTCCTCTTGAGTTTTAATAAAGATCTTAATAAAGACACAGTGTTCTTAGATCTGCTGAGATAATAACACTATGTTTATCTGCAACTGAACTGTTTAAACCAGTAAAACTTCCATCCAGCAGATTCATCCAGCCTGCACTCCAGAATCACTGCACTGAGTTTTCTGTCAGTGCAGCTCCTCTAAGGCTTGATGTGAGTTTAGGTTTGGGTTTCACTGCTGTTGAAGATCAAGCACAAAGTCCATGAAATCACACACTGCTTTCAGAGTCATTACCACAATAATCACCTTCAACACAGATACAAACTCTCTCAGACTCTGACACACCAAGCACACTGTTGGCCATGAGCCGCTGCCAGGACGTTGGGAGAGTCAGTGGTTGACTGTTGCCTGTGGTTCGTGTGGCCCAAACAAATCACCAAACACTGCTAACAGGGTTTTACTTTCAACTTGACAGTCTAGGTTCAGCCTAAACATTAAACACTAAGACATTCAGACAGTATATTGTTTACTCCTAACACTGTCAGAAAAAAGGAACTGTCCATATATTTTCCCCTTTTGGCTGTTTAGAACAATATCAAGATTTGTTACGAAAACATGAACATAAAATAGGCATAAAACATCGTGGTAGTGCCCAACTCTATTTTGCAGTTCTGGTGACACAAAAAAACAAAATCATTTTTAGAAAGTATATCTGAGGTGTGTTTGTTCTAATTTCAGGGAGTCTTTGTACTCAGTATAAAATGAGACCAACTGATCCAGACAAGAGAGCCTTTAGTGCTAATCAGATTACTGTCAGAAATCATGAAGAAACTTCACAGTCATTTGACAGCACATCACCTCCATCTGTAAAAATATATTCTCTCGTCATAAAATCGTCATAAATTGGTAATCAATTACAAATTTATGTTATTATATTATTAATTGAATAATACAATTAGACATGCACACTTAATAATAATTAATTATATTATAATAATATAAATAATACTTAATTAAATTATGAATTCATACTGATTTGCCTGAGAAACAATTTCTATCTTAAAAATTTAAAGTCAGAATTAATAAAATTCAATTATTCACTACTTCTGTTACACTGCTACTATTCCACCTTGTGCATATGATCCTGTCCCTCTTTACCCATCTAAACATCAAACACGCACTGTATCTTCCACTTTCTGTCTGTCAACAAACTCTAACTAAACTTTTAGCTGTCTCACTGTGTCTTTTTCTAATGTAGTCAGAGTTGAGCTCCCTGAACTCACTGGAGGAGCATCTAAAATACTGTGTGTTTAAAAGAGAAATTTCATCTTATTATATGTACAAGATAATAATATTTTCGCACCTCAAATCTTCTATTCCCTTAAACCTCAGGCTTATTATTAATTAATAAGTTTATTATTCAGTAACTACTATAAAGCTAACATGTAAGTTATTGTAGTTATGAGAGCGAGTAACTGAAGTCAGAGACAATCCACAGTTCCTTTGTTTAAAGGATTAACTGTTAATGACAGAAATAAAGAGAGAAAGATGAGACTCACCTGATACAGTCAGTCTAACAGCATCACTGGTCTCTGAGTAACGCAGCTCTGTTGACTTTGTTCCCTTACAGCTATAATCACCTTCATCAGACTGATCAACATTAGAGATTTCATATTTCTTCCTCCTTTCAGCTTCACTGAGACGTTTATTATTCTTAAACCACTTGTAACTCCAGACATCTCCACCTTCTATGTCACATGTGAGAGTGACTCTCTCTCTGATGAACACATGCTCAGCTGGCTGCACTTTCACTTTAGCCTTTGGTCTCTCTTGAAACTTGTAAACTCTCTCTAAGAAATGAAATAGTATTTATCAAAAAGAAAGGAAAATCATGACGTACCTGTAATCTTGACTGGATCACTGTAATCTGTGTAGGTTTCTCCTCTGCGTGCTACACATTTATACTCTTCTGTTCCTGTATTAGACACTGTTATATTGATTGTGTTGGTGTTTTCATCAGCAGTCAGTTGTGTTGATTGAGTGTTTTTGTACCAGAGAAACTTCCATCCAGTGAGTGAGAGCTGCAGTTTACAGATCAGAGTAACAGTGTCTCCAGTGTAGATGGTGCTCTGAGGCTCCACCCTCACTGCTGGTTTGAGTTTTTCTGTTGATGTGAAATGAAATTATCAGAGCTGCTTTCACCTTTACTGAGGCTGAAAAGGTGAATGTATGTAAAAGAGTTGGTTCTCATGAGTTCAAAATGGCTGTTTTTGCTAGGTAGTAGGTAGTGAATGGTACATTTTGAAACTAACGATATTTACATATCACTTCAGATTCCTTTATTTAAAAAAGTGAGGTCATTTAATGTTTTCATGATATGGAATTTTTAATATTTGCTTTCCTAATTTCCAATTGGAATATAGATTTCTGCTGGGTTCATGAATTAAGTACAACAACGACACACCAACCAACACCAAAGGAGCTGTAGGTTCTTTCAAATAAGAAGCTCTATAACAGTATGGGACAGATACAAGTGCAGCAGTAAGAAACACAGATAAATTTAAACCCTGTAATAAAACATTTAATTACCACAACTATGACCGTTATAGAAGCATCAACACTCAGACATGAACTTTCCCTTCCTGATGCTGAAGAATTACTACATTCCAGTTTTCAGATCCATCACTGCAACTGTTCTAGCTTATCCTTCTCATTCCAAACGTCCAGCATACTGGACATTTTTTCCAGGTATTGCAGCTCTACAGAAGCAGGTATGTCACCACACTCACTTTTATGTGTTTCTACAGAACTCTGTCTTTCTATTGGATGATTATTTAATGTATTGTTTTCCTTTTTTATCTTGTTATAAACAAAGCAAACATGGCAGCTGGTGAGAAAGATGCTCAGCGCCAAATGAAATACTTTTTCTAAATGATGCTTTATTTATTTCAGACATGTTTTATATGTATGTGCTTCTAAAAGGTTCCTGTTGTGGAAGGTAGAAAAAAGAAAATAATAGATATTCAAGACAGCATACACACATTTTGAGATAAAGTTTAATGCCCAGTAATCAGGACATTCGGACTTTGATTAGTGCAATAGACTCACATTACAAAACACAATCATTTAGTATTTTTATTACAGGTATAATCTACGTATTTAGGAGTGACAGTAGATGATGAAGTGTGAATTTGGGGAAAACATTGTTTCTTTGTGATTTCAGTTGATCTTGTTGTCAAGTAAACTGGACATTCGAATAATTAATGGATAATGAAATTAATAAAAATAATATACGTATTAATGTCACAATAAGAGACCAAAACAAAATCTAAACACTTCATGTATTTCAGAAAAATTATTTCTGAAACACAAATGGTATTACGGTCTACGACACTGGGCTAGCGTATAAAGTGTAATATGTGTAATATGTATAATATTGCATATAAATCTATGTAATATCTGATAAAGCTTTTAATGTTTTCTGAGTTTTTCTTCAGTGACCTTGATCATTTCAATCATTTGTTCATTCTGGATAAGGTCATGTAAAGCAGTGTACTTGTTTTGCGTTAAAAACTTTATTATTATTACTACACACACACACACACACACACACACACACACACACACACACACATATATATATATATATATATATATATATATATATATATATATATATACATATATATATATATATATTAT